TAGAAACCGCAAGCATTTCGGCTCCAATGGGGATTTCACCTGAGGGTTCTCAATCTCAATCAGAAATTAGCAGGTTGCTAATGGAATATCTTCTACCTTTTTAATCTATGGCAATGGGGCAGCTCTACTGCGGTTTGTCCCAAAAAATATATAAACTCCTCCGTCTCGCTGTGTGTTGCCGATGGCGGGATCGACTGCTAGTGCGTGCAGAAAGGTTCGTAAAGATGCCGTAGCATCGCCCTGTTTATTCGTATGTGGAGATGTGCGCCATCCATCACACAGTTGTGCCAAATGGCCCAGGATTTTCCACTGGATATTTGCAAATTCAGGATATAAACTAGCAGAGTCTTATTGTACACACGGTACATAGACAAGCTGTCGGCCTGTGACCTACGCAGGAGATGGACTGACAGTCCCCACTGTAATAACCAATGCAATACATGGATTAGCGACGTCTGCCTATAATTATCAGTACAGAATGATGATCTGCCGTGCGTATTACAGTTACCCCCGCTCCCTCCCCAACCCACTACCCGCTGCCTCCGCCCAACTGGCTCCAGCCCCGTGCCCTCCGTTCCACCATCGTCGGCCGCGCTTTCAGCCGCCACACCCCGGAAACTCTGGAGCACTATCCCTCCTCCTCGCCCCTTCCTTCCCCCAACTGCAGAACGCATCTGAAGACCTTTCTCTTCGACCGTCGCCTACGGTCATCTCCCCATCTCCCCTCCGGCACGGTGTCGTGCTCCGCCACTGGCAAGCGCTCTGGGACGCTGCCATGCATGAGGGGGTGCTGTGTAAGTGCAAGTTGTTGTTATAGTTACTAACGCAGGACACCGACCAACAATGAACACTGCAATTCCTAATATAGTACAAGGTATGGACTAGCAGCGTTTACTTACACAGTATATGGGACTTGCACTGTTTATCACAGAGACAAGTATCTTGTGGGCGAAACGCGGCAGCCAATTGCGCACAGCAGCGCCTCACAAACAGCTGTGGATTGAGTGACCAAAAATTTTTTAATAATAATTTTAATAATTTATTTGGGAATAGAATAACACATCAGGTTCATTAGACTTGGGAGAGGAACAACAGTAACTATTAAGGGAATAGTTTTTTGAGATCTAGGTATAGCAACGCAGGCAAATGGTAGAGAAATCTTTCTGAAGGTCATGTCTGTTATGAGCTAAGGAAAACTAAAAAGGAAAAAATGTGCATTTTCATGAATCTTTTCATAAAAGACTTTGCGGGGAATGGCGGTCATGACATAGTGGGCATTCGCTCGGGTGTCGGTGTGCATATGAGAGTGCGAGGCTTCCAATCAATCTTTCAAGTGACAGTCGACTTCATTAATGTGTTGACGCTCATACTGGGCTGTGTTAATGACAGAGTTCTGCTAGTAAATGAGCTGTGTAATATACAGTGGGTTGTCGCACAGGGAAAGTCTGCGTGCTGGATGTGCATATGGAGTACATCATTATGCTTAATTAATTTATGTACCTCAAAACAAGCTGCATTCCCGCTACAAACCCACACATATACCGACAATCTAAACGTCCTGGGCGTGTGAGGCTTGGATTGTGCGACTCAGGAACGGATTCTGAGGGTGTAAACATTGTGAGAGCTGAACTGGAGCGTAGATTCGGGTCCTTGAGATGCACTTGCAGCTGTGATTTACTGGGGTTTGAAGTATTTTTTTAATCTATTCAGGCAGCTAAGTTTCTGTGCAGTTGATGGGCATGTGAGTCCTGCAGCTCAGTGGTTAGAGCACTCGCCTCGCAAGCGAGAGGACCTGGGTTCGATTCCCGGGCAGGACAAAACATTGGGCAAGTGTCCTTACTGAGCACACACGCCTCTGTTTGCCCAGCAGTAAGTGGGAACCTGGTTGTTAATCGATTGGCGGATCGCTTTTCCGTGGGTAATAATCCCTTCAAAAGACAAAGTTAATAAGGATTTTTTGGTCACTCAATCCACGGATTGATAGCCGCATTTCGCCCATAAAATACACAGTCATTTCGCTTTACAGTATATTCCATGAAGCGCTTTGACATGTCTCGAAGACGTGATCCCCAGGATCCTAAACTATAAAGCGCTCTGAGACGCCATCTGGCATGGAGGGCGCTATATAAATCCAAGTAGTTGCTGTTGTTGATAAGGCGCTGTATCAAATGCAAAGATTATTACGGTTATTATTTATTTACCTCCATCAGCCGGAACTGTAGGTATTAAGGGACTCAGAACCTGCTGTTTGATTTTGTACCGTGTGACTGGAAGGATGCATTCTCCAGGGGAAAGAAACTTTTTTTGTTGACGAGTTAGGAGAGAAAAAGCTTTCACCGAATAAACTGCACAAAGTGTTTTGGCTGAATTCTTGGCTCTCCATTTTACAATGCAGAGGTAGTGATTTGCTGACTGACTGCTCCACTGTCTGGTACATATTGTGTGTTAAATCCATTGTTGCCACCAGATACAATACAGCCAGTCCAGAACTATCATCTGTTGTATCTTTGTCCAACTTCACTTTATGTACCATATTGGCCTTCAATCACTGTCTCTCTCTCTCTCTCTCTCTCTTTCTCTGTGTCTTGCCTGGATGGGCATAATTCTGTACAGCCTGTCGGCTTGTCTTGACCAAACAGTCACATTTATAGAGTGTGCAGTCTGTCATCGGTGTATGTCTGTCTGTCTCTCTGTCTGTCTGCAATAGCCAAGTTGTCTCTTTGTTCTGTGTGTATTCTGTAGTCCATCTTCTCCCGTGTCTGTCTGTCTGGGTCTGTCTGTTTGTCTGTCAGTCAGTCCGTCCGTCCAACTAGAAATTCATCTGCCAGGCAGTCAATCACTCGGGCACCTGATTCAATATCACGCACGTCTCTGAATTTCAATTTCCTTCTAATTGTAAGTAGCCGTACGAGCTGCAGAGACCGCGTGATTATTATTATCATTATTTTTATTATTATGTTTCTGCAGAGGAGCATCTGGCGTTTGCTTGGTTGAGTTAGCGCGAGGATAGATTGTAAATACTGGAAATTAAAATGGTTTTTCGGATTCTGAGCTCACAGGTTCCAGGCGGGGTAACGCTGTTCTGCATTTCATTCTGTTATCAGTTAAACGCACTCACTTTGTAATGTTACCGGAGCTTTTAAACCACTCTCGGGAGACAATTCACGATTCCTAGCGAATTACCGCAGAGTGTTGTCACTCCACGCATGAACCTGGATGGCGTCGCTTATTCAACTGCTATTCCATCAACTGCAGTTTGTTTATACTAATAATAATAATAATAATAATAATCCTGGCATTTGATACAGCGCCTCATCAGGTCTTTGAGACGTCTCAAAGCGCTTCACAGGATGTACTGCAAAGTGAATTGACTGTATATTTTGTTGGCGAAACGCTTTACCACTTAATGCTTAAATTAGGGTTAGAGTTAATGCCCACACTCCTACACCACACGCTGCTCATCCCAGATTACCCTCACCAAACCTAAACTGGTGCATCCATAACGTACACACGCGTACAATTTTTCGCCCACAAAATATACAATCGATTCGCTTTACAGGGCCTTCCGTGAAGCGCTTTGAGACATCTTGATCAAATGCAAGGATTATTAATATCATCGTTATTATTATTATTATTGTGTGGCATTGAGTGCCAGAGGGTTGCCGTGTATTAGTTAGGTCAGAACGAGTGGGTCAGCCTCCTTCCTGGAAGCAAAGAAAATACTGAAAAGCTTCAGCATTTGTTGCAACAACAACAATAACAACACAGAAGATCCGAAACTTGGTAATAACCGAGAAAGATGCCAACACTGATTGGTGGCAGTTCAGCTCTCAAGCGAATATCTCCCATTATATTGTTTGCATTTTGCGTCAGGTGGCACAAAAGCAGAAAATCAATTAGTGTTGTCTGAGAACCGATTATCAACAAAGAGATGAAAATACAGAAGGGCAGAGCTGAGATTCAAGGGAAGTCAATAACTGGCGAAAACAATAGTAAATTAGAGACTAGGCTGCTCTCTTATCTAACTTCCCCGAGCTAGCTGCCAGACTTTGCGCTGCACTGGAACGATAAAGATTCTACACGGATGAATGCTCTTTCGTTTTTTTTCCCCCTATTTATACATAGCAAATTGAACAGGATCAATTAAATGAGAGACGGGAGTCAGCTCGTTGAATATGGAACTGCACAGTAGAGCACTCGGGATCTACACGGTGCTTTTGAAAGTTTGACAAACATGACTTATTGAATATTTATAATGATAATCCAGGGGTTTGTGGATCTGCATCCATCTGAAAATGAGCAGAGAGGCAGTTCTTGTGGGACCTGCCCTGTTTATTGCTCTGTGGATCGTTTTTCTCAGCAGTAGTCATTCCGAATTGAATTGGTTTCCATTTCTTTAGCGCCTTTCGGATAGATGGGGGAGGACCCAAGTCGTGGGTGGGAGGCATGGGTGTTGGGTTGGGTTTTGTCGGTCTCCCTTCAGTATCATGTCATCGTACCAAGTGGGCAGTGTATAGCCCTGTAGGTCAGTGGTTAGAGCACTCGCCTTGCAAGCGAGAGGATCCGAGTTTGATTCCCAGGCAGGACGAAACTTTAGGTAAGTTTCTTTACTCCACACACACACACGCGCCTCTGTTTACCAGCAGTAAGTAGGAACCTGGTTGTTAGTCGATTATCGGAGGTAATAATCTCGTATTAAAAAAAATGTTGTCACTCAATCCACGACTGTTTGTGGGGACGGTGCTGTTTGCCCAAAATACACAGTCAATTCACTTTACAGTGTATTCTGTGAAGCGCTTTGAGACGTCTCAAAGATGTGATAAGGCGCCGTATCAAATGCAAGGATTATTATTATTATTATTATTATAAAGCTTGGTGTTATATTCTTCTGACCAGGCCTGCCATCAGGCCATGCAGCAGAAACCTGGTTGCAGTTTGCCTCTCGGTTTTATACCTCTGCTTTCCCTGGGAACCCTAACTCTGTTCTCTATTTATTACAGGAGGGTGACAAAGATGAGGACGGTTCAGACGTGGACCAGATTAATCCGTTACAGTTAGAATTCGTGGACGATCCGAACTTCAATGTGAAGGTCAATTATTCGTACACCGCAGTGCAGATCCCAACTGACATCTACAAGGGCTGTGAGTATTTATCTCTTACTTGTTCTCTACTCTGACCGCTCGATTGAGCTCCCAGGATAGGCTGACACGGTAACGCAGGGCTGGGGGGAACAGTGTTGGCGGAGGTGCCATCCTTCAGATGAGACGTTAAAGATCCCATCTCAAAAAAAAGCTGAGAGTTTTTTCCGGTGTCCTGACGAGCAATCCTTCAGATAAAATTGGTCATTCACTTCAAGCCTGTTTTGGGGGGACATTCTTGTGCAGAATGCTCATCATATGTGCTCATCATCCCAATTTACATTCAGTGCATTTTACAAAAAACTCTGTGAAGTGCTTTGAGAAACTTCAACCTGATCAAGAGCTACACCAAATGCAAGGATTGTTATTTGATTTTTCCTGTTGCTCAGTCACTTGGAATCCTCTCCTCTGAGGTTACAAATGTCTCACCGACTGGGTTTCATTCTGTATTCCGGGTTTGCAGTAACAACTTTTATTAACATACATAGTTTTGAGAGATTGACCCTTCCAGGCTCTCCAAGAATTCATCTGAATCAAAATTAATGTGGTCACTCGATCCATGACTGTTTGTGGGGACGCTGCTGTGCGCAATTGGCTGCCGGGTTTCACCCACCAAATACACAGTCAATCCACTTTACAGTGTATCCTGTGAAGTGCTTTGAGACGTCTCGAAGACGTGATAAGGTGCTGTATCAAATGCCAGTATTATTATTATTATTATCTCCATACAGAGTGGGTACCAAATAATATACACGCACAATACGCACCGTGTAAACACACCAAAAGTTATTTACACAAGCTCGGGATACTCGGGCAACACACTCACATAAACATACACGTTGTATGTTTTTAATGGTGCAAAGACTGTGCACATGATTATAATGCTGTCTTGTCTTATTCAACACTTTTCAACCAGCCACGTGTCAAATTCCTAGCACATTGAATCAAGTTGCTGTAATAATTCACAGGGCAATGGACAGTGTTACTGCTTCTGATGCCTGGGCGCCTCTGATTGATAACCTATCTTGTGCCGCAGTCGTATGGACAGACAAACTCTTTCAAATTAATTAACATTTAAATTAGAAATAAAGGACGAAACTCCTAGGATTTTAGTAATCTCGGTAATGGGGCTGAATTTGTCATCGTTCGAGTCTCCTCCTCTCGTCCCATGTCACCAGTTAGGCACAGCTCAGCTTTCACAACCTGCTTAGATTGCCCGGGTACTCTGTTATAATTACAGCAATGAATCTCGGTGGTAGGAGAGCACTCTGCCATGCCTTAAGTCATTTATAAGGTGAGAATAATACCCGCTTCTTCCATTACAACTTTTTCAGACCCTACAATACGTTTGAGAGGAACAACCTCAGCCTCCAATAAGATGTGAGAATCTTACAGCCCCTATTGGAAGCTCACATTAAAGTCTATTAAGAACTGATATATGTCCTTTACTGAGGGACACTTTAGCTGCTACTGTGTGTACCCTATAGGCCTCACAGAATAACCTGTTAAGCTTTATAGAGAATGGCTCCTGCGATAGCTCAACCAGTTTATTCTGTGAACCATAGAGCTATAAAGACCAAACACGCAGCAAGTTTTTAAGAGGACCGAGAAGAAAATGGAGGAGCAGAGAAGAGGGGATTTGGAGGGATGGAGGCTGGTAGAGTATAAACATTGGCACGGACTAGTTGGGCTGGATGCAAGTTAACAATGTACTGACAAGGTCTTCAGGGCTATTTAAGGGTTTGGGTGGATCTAAAAAGAACGTAAGAATTTGCTGATGAAAGAGGACCAAGGTCCATCCAGTTCGCCTTCTACCATCCTGGCAGTCGCTTGACATGTCGTGTCCCCAAACTATACGCTGTATCCCCCAGATATTATTTTCTAGTAGAAATCTATCTTGTTTGTTCTTGAAACAAACAACTCTTTCTGCTTCCACCGCCTGTTCCATATATTTACTACTCGCTCACTGAAGTAGTGTCTCTACAGATTTGTTCTGAATGTAATATGTTTGCAACTCAGTATTGGATTGGTACATTGGCTGAATGTTCCTTACAGTCTTCACTGGGTGCATACACCTACCTATCAATAATTGTCGGATCTTCTCCAGCAGTAGTAGCTTTGAACCAAGGAATATCTAAATAAATGCATTGGATTGTTACATATTCTTAACCGAAAGACGTTTTAATTCCCCCAAATGGTTTGCCATTTTATAGCAGAATATAAAGCTTGAAGTGACGGGGTTATCTGTAGGGAGGCTGCTTGTGGCGTTCCTTTTGCAGACCGTTCTGTCTTCCTTTTGCTGTTGGTACTCCTGAAAAGATTATTGCTTCATTTCAGTGTCATTACTTGATTCATTTTGTCCTTGTGCAGCTTCTACCATCAGCCCTACACACTCTCACACATCCCACATCTGAGGACTTTGACATTTCCATACTTATGATCTGTTTCCTGGACCCTCACATGTTAGGAAAATACAGGTGGGCAGCTTGTTATCTCCTACAGCAGCAAGTCTTGACGTTCTGTTGCAGTAATTACACACACAGAATGTCTCGCACAATCGTTCCGTTAAAAAAAAATCCTCAACAATGTCTTATCAATTTTCATCCAGTATTTATCCTTTGAACGTTAATTGGTTTGGCCTCTTTTGGGGACATATTCAACTGTATTTTTATAGCAATATTAATTATGTTACCATATTTCACGGCGAACCATTCGTTTCGTCTATATCGAAAATGCAGGGCGCAGAGAACCTGTTGCAGTTTGACCAGAAAATGATAAATTCATTGTAACGTGATATTAAGTTAGATTATTAATAACCAATTTAACCTTTAATACTGTATTTCGAAAATCTTCTGTTGCCTCTACATAAGACCAACTCTTTGCACCAAATTTTTTTTTCTTCAGAATTAGGCTGCACAAAACAACCTTTGCTGGTTGGTCAGTGCAGCCTAACTCTGTTGGCAGCGAATATCATAATAATAACACATATCAGCAAACCAGTGCTATAAAGAAGCACCTTATTGAAACACAGGAACAGCAGAAGGCCATTCAGCCCCTCAAGCCTGTTCTGCCATTCTGTAAGTTTCCCAACCGATGGCAAAATTACTCCCAAAATTGAAGCTGATGCTCTAGCAGCATAACAACAGAATTTGTACCCCATTCATTACCCCCCAAGTACTTTTTACTTTCGCCCACAAAATATGCCGTCGATTCACTTTACAGTATATTCTGTGATGCACTTTGAGACGTCTCAAAGACGTGATAAGGCGCTGTATTAATTGCAAGGATTAGTATTATTACTTGGGTGCTGAATGAATATTGACGTGTAAAGGTGAGGGAATGGAGAGACTGAGAGAGCTGTTCAGGTTCACGGACTTTGGGTCGAAAGGTTTCATCTTCTCATTGAGGTCATCTTGATCTGCAGTCAATTCCCGAAAGCGACTTGCGACCCAGTCAGTAAAATAGGTTTGAATTAAACGAGCGGTGCTTTCGAAACGTGGCACCAGAATTAGAGGCAAAATGGAGAATGAGGAATAATTCCGACTAATTTAATTGTGACGCCCGTGAATACTAATCACAAACCGTCTGAAGGTCCTATAGAGTCTTCTGGAAAAGGGTTTTAATGAATGCAAGGAGTCAGTGAGGTGCATTGAGCAGACAGACACAGTGGTTTGGCTTTGATAGGTAGGGCGCAGGCTGAGGAGGGCAACTCTGCCTTGTGACTTGTCAGGAGTGAAACATATTCCGCAGGCACCGAGTAACGTTGGTGAAATAATCAGGAAACTACTGGAGGATACTATTGATAGAGGGTGTGTGTTAATTGATACATTTAATATGACAGTATTTACTTCACTCATCACTAAACAGCCAAATTAAATTTTTATTTGCTTTTTATTTACTGTGTCATCTTTAATTAAAAAACCCGGATCGCTCCAGAGAGCATGTGAACTGATAACCACAAGGCCTCCCTCTCTCTGTCCTTTTAGCAACGGCGTGTTAACACCTGAATGCCAAAACAGACGCCAACGTTATAAAGCCACACGGACTAATTGTATCAGTCACCTTCAAGACTGTCAATTCTGCTCATCAACAGGAGTGGCATTCCTGCTAATGAGACCATCACATTGATGGATCTTGATCCACCAGACACTGATTGCGAACTGGTTTTGAATCTCTCGCTGATGAGATTGTCATGCTGATGCTTAAACCACGGCTTGCCCGGTGTCACTGGTTAACGGGTAGGAATGGGATTCCCACGAGATCATTAGATTCACTCGGTTCAGATCCGACTTGAGCAGAGCCTCACACTGATCCTGGACTGGTGAGTATCAGACTCACTGTGAGACCAACTCCCACAGCATTGAGAGTTTTGCTGGTTATAGGAACATAGGAACAGGAGGAGGCCATTCAGCCCCTCGAGCCTGTTCCGCCATTCTATGAGATCACGACTGATCTGTACCTCAACTCCAATTACCCGATGCCAGCACTAGCACTAGAAGTTTGAATCCTGGTCTGATCTCAGCCAAGTCAGCCATTGGGGACACTGCAATCAGATTTTATCAATCCAGTATCAGTTTATTCAATATCAATTAACCAGTGAACCAATTCACAACTAAAAGAATCAGCCCCTTCAGAAGAGGAGGAGGGTGAGAAAAAGCGGCACAAATAAATTACAATAGAAAAAAATCCACTGGAGCCAAAGTTATTGGCCATCTCTCTCTTCAATGCCAAGTCCAATAGCTTAATTTGTCATGCAGACACTGATGCCTCATTGCAGTCTGCCTTCCCTCGACGCAGTTCCCTTTACAGTGGACCAGAGGTATGACAGCTGTTGGCTGTGACTAGTGCAGAGGCTACAGTGGTCCTCGTGTGCATCATGATCATTTCTGAACAAGATGATTTAGTGAAGGATTTCCCTTTCCCTTGAATGATCTTATTGGGTCCTAATGAAGATTCATAGGAGTAATTACTGGAGGACCTGTTTTCCCGCACCCTGCTGTTTGCACTTTCCTCACAAATCCTTGGGAATAATTCCAGTCATCATTCAAGCCAACCCTAATGGCATTCATGCTTTCAATTTCACGTTAAATTTTATTTCCGCCAATTCCTGAAGCCCAATGGAACTTTTTTGCTGAAATATAGCAATAAGGATCTCGCACAGGAAAGCACTACCCGTACACAGCATGGGGCAAAGACAGGTAATTGGATTTGAGGTACAGATTAGCCATGATCTTACAGAATGGCGGAACAGGCTCAAGGGGCTGAATGGCCTCCTCCTGTTCCCATGGGTATTTACACAGAGCAGTACATGCAATCCTAAAGAAAGCTCTGTCTCTTGTCCCTACATAATGAATTGCTTGCATTCCCATCCGCACAGCATGGATTGGATCCTATTGGTCTCTGTTTGGGTCATTGTCTGTATTCCCAAACGCAGTTGTGTGGGTCCTGTTCATAGTGCATTAAGCACATTTCACTAAGATTTACCCCTATTCAATCAAATTAGCATTTTCTTCCCACCCACACATACTCTTACACTCACACACACAAAAGCAAATGCTGCCCCTTTTCAATTGGCTGCCACGTTCCCCCCACAAAATATACGGTCAATTCACTTTACGGTGAAGGGTTTTGAGACATCTCGAAGATGTGATAAGGCCCTATATCAAATGCAAGGATTATTATCATTATTAAATTGGCTTTTTTCTTCCCACACACACACACACACACACACACAACCGAATCCTGACCCTTACGCGGTGATTTCATTTCTGGAGCTTGTGCCAATAAATAAAAGATTATGTTTGGAAACAGTAAATGATAGAAAGCCTGAAGCTGCAGAGTATGAGCAGTGGCAAGGTAACATGATGATGAGGTGTCTGAGCTGAATGATGTGTGTATCAACACTTCCTTCCCTCAGCACCAATAAACGAAGCTTGTGTTTTTAGTGGCATTGTGTGTGTGTCCGTGTGTGTGTGTGTGTGCTGTTTTATAGATTGGCTTCTCCTGGCTCATACTCGTAGTCTCGAATGCAGGGAAACTCATCATGCAGAAGAAATTCTCAACAGCTGCAGTGACTTGACTGCAGGATACTCATTGATTATTCGTGTGTTGAGCTGCCTGCTCCGAGCCTTGACTAACACCTTTGAATAGTTCCATTAATCACTGAGAGCACCATTTCACATCGCCAGTTTTCTCTCTGCCACAGAACCCCCCAAATACTCTACCTGGATGTGCGCTCATTCGAGTTCTGGTCTGTTTGTGCGAGTGGGAGCTGAAACCTGTGACTCTCTCTCCCTCACAGGCCTTTTTGGACACAACCCCCACACCCACCCCAAACACTCCTATAGATGCTGGGACCTTACCCCACGTGAAGGGCGCTATATCAATGCAAGTTGTTGTTGTTCTTGCAAGCATAGGAACAGGAGTAGGTCATTCAGCCCCTCGAGCCTGTTCCACCATAAGATCATGGCTGACTTGTACCTCAACTCCAATTGTCGTCCCTCGCCCCATGTCCCTTGATCTCCTGACACAACAAATATCTGCCCACCTCAGTCTTGAAAATTTGAATGGATCCAGCCATAATCCACAGCCTTTTGGGGGGAGGGAGTGAGTTCCAGATTTCCACTCCCCTTCGGGTGAAGAACTGTCTCCTGAATAAATGGACTAAACAGCCGAAGAGCTATGTCAAGTTGGTATAAAGTGTCCAAGGTTAGGCACTTGTGGAGACAGGTCGCTCTTAAAAGGTTTTAAGAAATTTGATTATTTCTCAGCGGAAAATCTTTCTGCTCTGTTTTCAGACAGTGTTTTCCACCGGGGTTAATCCACTTTACAGTACATTCCATGAAGCGCTTTGAGACGTCTCGAAGACGTGATAAGGCTCTGTATCAAATGCAAGGATTATGATTATTATTATCTAATAAGTCTGAAAGAAATAATGATTTTTTTCTGGTTTTTAGACAATAGGGTAGCTTCAAGACTGAAGCTTGAATGTTTCATTCTATGAGCCACTCCTGAAGTCCAGTGTGACCAGTTCCTCCAGTTCAGCTCATCAAATCAGATAAAACACTGCGATATTGAACTGAGCTGTGAGTCTAATTGGGCAGGAGATTTGATTCACAGCGAATAACAATTTAGTTCGAAAATAGATTTCTCGAAAATTAGGTTGACAATGTAATAACGCTAATAAGGCCGTCAGGTTTATATGGGATCGTTTTGTTTTGTGCAGCATATAATCATTCGAAAACAAATTTTACTACCCGCTCCCTACAAATGATTTCCACGTAGCCGATTAGAAAGAACCGGGGGAGACAGTTACCCCACATGGGGTAATGTGCGTAGGATCAAATACTTGGAGTGTTCGATCAACAAAACACAGCACTCCTCACACAGGGTAGCGTCCCAGAGTGCTTTAAAACCTACACAGTCAGGGTGCCACGTGCTCACACTCCACCCACCCCACACACCCACATGCTCGGAACATACGTGAACTGACACGACAGTACATACCATGTCTCTCTCTCTCTCTCTCTCTCTCTGCTCCGCACGTTACCCATAATATTCAGGACACTTCTCATTCTGCGCGTTCCCTGGTAATCATCATTTACAATTGTTCAATGAATAAGATTTCAGAGAAAGCTGTTTATCTCACCGGGGGGAGTGGTGGTGGTGGTGGTGGGGGGAACATTTGCATTCTTCCCACGGCTAATAAAGATTGTAAAGAGTCTCTCGCTCCTGCCGTCATCACGCCATCATTCCCGTTTCGCTTTGACTATTTCATCGCCTCAAACATCTTCTACCGTTTGCAATTTTCAGCGACGGTTATCCTGAATGAGCTGAACTGGACTGCTGCGCTGGAAGATGTCTTTAAGCGTAACCGAGATGAGGACCCCTCGTTGCTCTGGCAGGTGTTTGGAAGTGCCACAGGCGTCACCAGATACTATCCAGGTAAGTTAAGAGATAAGAGCGGATAAGTTGTGTGGTCACACGGCAGTTACTAAACCTGCCGGAAATCAAACAGGAACTCAATGGCAGTGACTGACCAATTGCTCCGTGCTGAATAAAAATCGGGAATCGTTGAAGGAATGCAGGGTGAACCAAAAAGTCGTGATATCGTTACAAATATTTCGCCCACAAAACACACAGTCAATTCACTCAACAGCGAGCTCGCTCACGGCCTGGGATAATCGTATTGTGAGGCCCAAGTAATTCCCGACGCCCTTATCTAAGTTGAGTTTGAAGCCCATTTCGTAAAAAGCCAGACCCAATCCCACCAGTTACAGCTCGGAGAGTTTGTGGAAGTAATTTGCAAATGTAGATGATTTTCAGGCTTTTCTCTGATGTACCAAATAATTCCAGCATCATATCAGCCGATGTACATTACTCCAGAATAAACCTGGGGGGAAGAAAAGCGGTTTACATTTTCGGCAGAACTGTTCTGTCTCTGTAACTTTGTTTGCGTTTACTGCAGCTACGCCATGGAGGCCACCTAATAAGATTGATCTGTATGACGTCCGAAGGAGACCCTGGTAAGTAAGGAACATATCTAATTTATCCATTATTAGAGCCAGGGCCAATGACTAGAATATGAGGCATCGTCAACGTTGAAACGAACAGGAAGGGCTTCAAGATAAATCAGGAAGTGGCAGGTTAGGCAACAGGGAGCTTGTATTTTAAAGATAAAGAGTTTTATTGGAGTGAGAACCGAAGGTGAGATGAGGAGGCCCTCAGGTTTGAGGTACTGGAAAAGAATGATTAAGAGTGAGGGAAAAAAATGTTTCTTTTTTGAAGGATTTTAAATATGGAGCGGAGGTAAAAAAAAATGGTTTTAATTAGTGTAATTAATTTCTATTCCATCACCGCCGCTCAGCCCAATTATAACAAGAACGTAAGAATTTGCTGCGGGAAAGAAGACCAAGGTTCATTAAGTTCAGCCTTCCACCATCCTGGCAGTCACTTGACATGTCGTGTCCCGCCCAAACTATATACTGTCTCCCCCGATATTATTTTCTAGCAGCAATCTATCTAATAATTCACTGATAGGAGCTTCAGAAATGGCACCCCCAAGGTTTCAGTGGATAAATGGCTCACGGGGTCAGTGTACTGGTTCTTTGTGGCAAGTTACAGACACGAATTGTGTGAAGACAGGCACATTTATATGAGCATAAATTGGGAAAAGAGTGTGCCAATCATCCCAGGCGTCTCGTGCTATAGATCAGTTACTGTGTTCCTTTCGAAGTCTGTTTATTGATCTCGAAAAGCGAACCCGTTCTCTGTCTGTGATTGAGTGACTGAAGTTACTGGCTGATAGGTTTGGTTCGATAATCATTACACCTGTGCTTTTCCCTGAAAATGGTCGCTCGGGCCTGNAAAAAACATACCATAAAATCATGGAATCTTACAGCCCAGAGTGCCTTTGAAAGAGCTACCAACTAGTCCCACTTCCCCACTCTTTCTTTCTTACTTACTTACTTACTTACTTACTTACCCCACAGCCCTGCAAAATTTTCCTTATTAAGTACTTATCTAATTCCCCTTTGAAAGCAGTTATCGAATCTGCTTCCATCACCCGTTCCAGACCGTAACAGCTCTATCGGTTTAAAAAAAATTCTCCTCGTCCCCTTGCCTCCCCTCTGGTTCTTTTGCCGCCAGTTATCTTAAATCTGTGTCCTCTGGCTACCGACCCACATTGAAAGAGCTACCAACTAGTCTCACTCCCCCGCTCTTACCCCATAGCCCTGCAAAATAGAATCATAGAATTTTACAGCACAGGGCAAACCTGTCATCACCTTTTTCCATATGTTAAACTGTGTTAAGATGTTCTCTCCTCTCTGGGAGATTGGAATAAATAAATCCTGGCAATTGAGCAGATGAATTCACGATTCCACAGTGGGCTTAGCGTAAGGCTGAGACACCTCCTCGCACGCAGTCTGTTGAATTGAGTTCATACTGCCCTACTTCAATGACACAGCCAGGGACACGTGCGACCCTTCCAGTGAAGCAGCGAGGGATTATCGAGGGCTTTAAGCCACTGAAAACGCTGCTAAGAAAATGATGTCGCTGTGAGCTAAAATGCTGGCTTTCGGGGCAGCGCAACACATTGCTATTCCTGATGAGAACATGGAAGGCGGAAGCCTGAAATCTCAAGCAGAGTCTGTCGTTTGCTCTGTCATTTGTGAAACTCAAAAGTGTTGTTGGCAAGATCTGTTTTTTCTTCCAGAGGCGAGTAAATCTGTCGAGTAGCACATCAGAGAGCTTCTTAGCTAAAGCATGAGGGTTGCTCTATAAATAGTGAGTTGTTGTGGTGGTGGTGGTGGTTGTGGTTAGTTACCTGGAGCAAGAAGCTGGAGGCAGGAGCCAAAGGCATTCCTATCCAACTGATATCTGTGAGAGAATATCCTTCTTATCCCATAGCTCACTGGTGCTGTTTTGAGTTTCTTAAGCGAATAATTCGTAATAACAACCGCAAGCAACAACGACTTGGGTATACACAGCGCCCCCTCCACAGGCCAGCGTCCTGGAGCCCTTGACAGTGGCCGAGCATGACTCCGAGCCGGGGATAGGAGGGAGGTGACCGTAGACACTGGTCGAAGGGGAAGGACTTCAGGAGCGACCTGAAGATCAACAACAACAACAACAAAATTACATTTATAGAGCGCCTTTCACGTCGGGAGGATGCCCCAAAGCGCTGGGGTGATGGGGAAGGAAGATAGGGAAGGAAGGGGCGAGCCTGAGGGAGGGAGAGAGGAAGAGTAATAGCGTAATGCTCACCAGTAACTTTCTTGTGGGTCTTAATTTGTATTGAAATCCGATGGGCTAGAGAGACCAAGCTCTCTGATGTGCTACTCGACAGATTGAGTGAGCGAAAGCATTATTTTGTTAAATCATAAAGCCGGGTGGAAAGAAAACAATACACCCTTTATTCGGTGCATCAGGTTTGTCAAAAGTCATTAAAACTTCAAAAAGCAATGAATAATATTACTTGTTTTTTGGTGACATTTCACTCGGACTCCAGCAGCTGTTATCTGCAGCAGAGCAGGTTCTGTGCTGTAGGGGAAGCCAGTCGGTGCCTCAGGGAGAAGTTAGTATTATTTTTTCCTCAAGATTTCATCACATACACTCAGAAAGGTCATGCTCTTAGCCAAAGCCAACAAAGTACAGCTTCAGTGCCGTTTGTCCTTGGAAAATCAGAGACGCATGAATGCTACTCCCTCGACCACAGTTAACTGCAAGGGCAGTACCTGAGATTAACCTTAAGTAACACACACTCGACACCTCACAGCTTGTCAGAGGCACAACCAAGCATGTTCGCCCATTGTGAGCCAAACCCAAGGAGGTCCAACCTTTTGGCTGCCGAGGGCTGGATGTGGGATTTGAGACCTGTTCGCCCGAGCCTCACAAGCAATATTTCTGTGTTTCCCTTCCACAAACATAGCCCGTATATAGAAATCCTAATGGTTTATATTGTGTCACCGTGTTACTTGATTTCACTCTATTTCAGTTGCCTGGAAAATTTTAAATAGGCAATGTATAAATTCATAGAAATTTGACAACAATAATACAGCCAGTGATGAGGTCTCTCTCTCTCTCTCTCTCTGTATCTGTATCTGTATCTCTCTCTCTGTCTCTGTCTGTCATTGGCGGAGCCTGACTCCGAGCTGGGGGAGGGGGAGAGGTGGCCGTAAGCACGGTAAAAAGGAAGGTTTTCAGGTGGCACATGAAAAAGGGGAGAGAAGGGGGCAAGGCGGGGAGATTGAGGGAGAGCGTTCCAGATGGTGGGGCGGGGGGTGTGAGGGACAAGCAGGAGCCGGTGCCAGTCAAGCGGAGGCACCGGGTGGTGGATTGGGGAGTGAGGAGGTCGGAGGAGGAGGGAGGTGTCAGAGAGTGAAGGAGTTTGAACGCGAGTATTAAGTTGTGATGTACATCTTTGTCTCTCATGGATGGTCGAAGTTTATAACTTGTGACCAGTTTACCTTCTGGGATTTTCTTAGCTACTAGTAAATACACCAGCGATCTGCACTTTGCTCTGACAGACTGACCAGCCTGTAGCTGAGCAATAAAACTAAATTGGATTTTTGGTTGAATCAGAGAAGATGTCACTTCTGGCTCCAATTGATCTGTGGAGCAAAAAAAAAAGTCAAGTGCCCCATCTGTTCCCATCTGAACGCACTGTAGCTTAATAATCATTAACAATTAGAAATAAGTATGTTTTTGTGTTCAAATTTACATTTCAAACGAAAATAACAAGGTCATATCTCATGGCTATTCTCGTTTCTGTGAAATGCTTCCCTGTATCTCAAACACGTTGACACATTTTGAGTTGGGGCTACAGCATCAGTCGGATTGGAGTTGAGGTACAGACCAACCATGATCTGATAGAATGGCGGAACAGGCTCGAGGGGCTGAATGGCCTCCTCCTGTTCCTACGTTCCTGTGTTTCTACAGCGGCCAACGCCAATCAATATAAAAGATTCCTATTTCCCGAACAACAAAAGAGAGTTTGCTCGCTTCCAAAACAGTGAGGAACATTTTGCCACAACAAGGTGCAAGGTCTGTTTAAGTTGACCTCAATTTCCGGAGTGCACACCGAGTGATTCGCTGGAGGGAATTTTCCTCCTGTTGATAAAAATGTAAAATGTAACAGCAGCAGGAGAAAAACCTGTTTCGCTGGTACCAACGTCCTCTTAAAATTAAGATTAAAGTCGCATAAACTTCCGCTCCACACTGGATCCATCAAATAACAAGTCGTCAAAAATAGCAATCGCTGCACTGGATCTGTGTGTGTTTCGCGGGTAATACTATACTGAATTTTGATGGATGACCTTTTGCATCCATGCAAATTCAGTACGTTTCAAAGCAGCAGCAGTATTTTGATGACTGTATTCTGTTGCACTGCTCTTTACAGTACGAGTTCAGTGACATTTATAGTGTAATGACCCCGACAGTTTGTATTACAAATCATATGCATTAATAAATAAAATAAAATAAAATAAATTCAGCCTCAGTGAAACATTACTTTCTTGCCCCACTCTGAATGAGTTTCCTATAGTTTCTGTAGTATTTCCCTCACATTTGAGCACATTTCGCCCACAAAACATACAGTCAATTCACTTCACAGTATATTCTGCGAAGCGCTTTGACACCTCTTGAAGATGGGATAAGGGGCTTTAACAAATGCAAGGATTGTTATTGTTATTATTTAATTTATCATATTTACCGCATTTTGAGTATTCCACACAGACCTGATTAATTGCTTCATTGTTATGAAGTAAGCTTGCGGCCACAGGAGTCAGCGCAGAGCAGAGGAAACCTACAATTTATTTCCTTTTTTAGAAATAAATTGACATTACTGACCAATAGAAGGATATTTCTGCAGCTTCCCACTTGAGACTCAAGAAGTTAGTTACAGGACCTTGGTTTAATGTCTCATCTGAAGGACGAATTGGTGCATCAGGTTAGGTCAGGGTGTCATGGATATGGGGCAAGGACGGGTAACTGGACTTGAGGTACAGATCAGCCAGGATCGTATAGAATGGCGGAACAGGCTCGAGGGGCTGAATGGCCTCCTCCTGCTCCTATGTTTCTCTTAGTCTGTACTTACTGCGAGTTCAATGTCCTAACATAGGGCTTGAACTCACAACCTTCTGACTTGAAGGCAACACTATTGGCTACCAGTTGATTCAGGCAAAGGTAAAGCGAAGACAACTGTCGACATCATTGCTTCAGTGTTATGAATTAAGCTTGCGGCCACAGGAGTAGAGGAAACCTACAATTTATTTCCTTTTTTAGAAAATAAATTGACATTAATGACCAATAGAAGGATATTTCTGCAATGTGGAGTTCTGTAGCTCAGTGGTTAGAGCACTCGCCTTGCAAGCGAGAGGACCCGGGTTCGATTCCTGTCAGGGCGAAACCTTGGGCAAGTTTCCTTACTCCACACAGAGCCTAATAATAATCCCTCCAAAACAAAACAATAATAAATTGGTCATTTTCAATCCACAGCTGTTTGTGGGGACACTGCTGTGCGCAATTGGCTGCCGGGTTTCGCCCACAAATATACAGTCAATTCACTCTACAGTATATTCTGTGAAGCGCTTTGAGACGTCTCGAAGACGTGAAAAGCGCTATATCAAATGCAAGGATTATAATTATTATCGGGTAACTGCTATCGTCACTTAACTGCTGGGCTCCACAGTTCAAATTTCACTCTCACCGTTTGTGAACCCTTGAATGGATTAGTATCCTTTGTAATCTGGTTCAGTCTCCGCCATAGAATTCCACCCCTTTTCCCAGCGAAAGCAACAGCCTCCTTGCCTGCGACACTGTGATTTCTTAATTTCCTACAGTTTATGAACAAATGTTAAACAGTTGTTACAACAGATATCAGGTTATTCCTCCTCCGCGGCTCTTTGCATTTTTATTAAACTGCTTGCAGGCAGATACTATAAGCCAGCGATCACACTGATGTTTTCGTATTAATTATAAATCTATTTTGAGGCTCTGGTACAATTTGCTGAACCCTTGTTCTGTTTTTTGAACTCAATCCCTTTGTATCTGAAGACCGGCTTAAAATGGATCTTAATCAGTGCGGTACAACTCAGTGTGAGGAGTCGAGTCTGTCACAAGGCAAGCCTCTCACAGCTAATTGTACGCTGCACGGTCATAGCACAAGGAAGCAGAGAACAGTTGAAATGGAATTAACAGACGTGTCACCAAAATGGGTAACAACCTATGTCTTTGCGCTCAATATAATACAACTCTCAACCTTTCCCAACCCTCCCTCTCTATACAGAAGTAAAGGGGCTTAAAGCCACCACTCCCCCCACCGACTCAGAGTCAGGCTCCGCCACTGTTAAGCGAGTCCCTGCGTGGAGGGGGCTATCTATATAACTGCAGGTTGTTGCTGTACACCTTCAAGACTGAGGTGGATAGGAATTTGTTAGGTCAGGGTATCAAGGGATACGGGGCAGAAGCAGGCAATTGCAGTTGAGGTCCAGATCAGCTATGATCTTACAGAATGGCGGAACAGGCTCGAGGGGCTGAATGACCTCCTCCTGTTTCTATGTTTCAATGTTCTGTGTTTTCTAAGTAATCCACTGGTAGAAAAGTATGGATTCCTTGAAGAGGATCCATGATTCTCATTGAAAAGTGACTGCACAGCGCTTAAGTATCTGTGTATGTGTTGTGTTTATAGGTGTGTGTGTGAGACGGACATCCTGTGGTTGTGTATCTGTCACAAAGACTAGCATACCCACGGCTTGTGTGTTGGTGACGAGGGCCGATATAATCTGCAGTCATGTAAAACCCTATGCTGCTAAGTGTGTGTGTGATTACTGTATCTCTTAAACACTTGGGACATATAAAAGCAGGTACTGAAATATGTTCCGTGTGACAATACAAGACTCACGAGCGAGTCTGTTCTGGGATGGGAAATTATTCACTCTCACAGGCCACAGCGGCTGAAATCTATTTTTAAAAGTAATTGGTTTCTCCGCGCAGATTCTTTTTGGAATGAAATGCCTCATATGGTTGCGATCTGACCTTGTCTCACCAATGCTTTTAATGACTAAACGATTCCTTTTTTCCCCGGGTTTATTTCACTCCAGGTACATCCAGGGAGCCTCTTCTCCCAAGGACATGATGATTATAGTGGATATGTAAGTATTTGTGATGTCTCATCCTTCAGCTGCATGGAACCTCTCAGCTCCATTCCATGGATTTACCGAACACCATTATGTTGGCATTGTTAGGGCCCTAATATCCACTCCAATATCCCGCTGCACAGGGAGAGGAACTTAAGCATTTCAATAGGGATGAGATACATTTAGAAGCTGGTGAAGAGGAGTGACAGAAGCATGTCAGAGAAAGGAAGTTCAGTCACAGAGAACAAAAGGGCTAATGAACCTCCCCCAAAACAGAGGATGCTATTGGGCACCTAAACGGTACCTGATTAAGACGGCTCCAATCCAGGTTCACGTTCGCAGCAAGAAATTATGCTTCAGGGATTTACAAACAAATGTTGATGAAGCCATACTCTGGGGCTGGAGTTCAACGATAGAGGCGAATAGCCGATGGAAGCCGACGTGGGAATTACTAAAGCAGTCATTTGAAGTGGAGCTGTGAAAGGTTCAGACTTCTATCCTAGTTCTAAAATTATAGTAACGTAGGAGTAGGAGGAGGCCATTCAGCCTCTCGAGCCTGTCCTGCCATTCCTATCAGATCATGGCTGATCTGTGCCTCAACTCCAATTACCCGCCATTGCCCCATATCCCTTGATACCCTGACCTAACAGTTGTGTGGCATTGATACAATCGACCTCTAATTGAATTTTGAGAGGTGTAATTGTGCATCGTCAAAGCTGCTACGCGGAATGCCGGTCAGAATTTCTCACAAACGATCCCGATAGACTACATAGTGCAGATGTATTCAAACCACTAAGGGAAAGTGACCACAATAGGAAAAATTCACTGGAGCAGAGAGAGGTGAAGAGAAGTGGAATGAAAATGTTCAGAATTATTTCAGAGTTTGAGAGGGTGACATTCGTGAAAGGTTGTTTCCATGACAATAAGCACAAGATTATTACAGAAAGCCTGAAGATTTTTTTAAAATGCTTCACAGAACATACTGTAAAGTGAATTGACTGTGTATTTTGTGGGCGAAACGCGGCAGCCGATTGCGCACAGCAGCGTCCCCACAAACAGCCGCGGATTGAGTGACCGCATTTTTTTAAGGGATTATTACCCTGAAAAAGCGATCTGACAATCAACTAACAACCTGATTCCTACTTACTATGGGGTAAACAGAGTCGTGTGGGGTAAGGAAACTTGCCCAATGTTTCGCCCTGCCTGGGAATGGAACCCGGATCCTCTCGCTTCTCATTCCCCTCCACAATTCTTTATTCCCCCTGTAACTTTTATTTAATCAATTTATCTTATGAACTCCTATTTTAATTATCTATTCAACCACATGAGAGGATGCCTACTTAGTAGTACAAATTGCATGTGTGCGAGACACCTATCTTGAATACTGAAGAAGCTTCCGAAAATGTTTCTTTTTTTTTCCCCCTTCGACAGACATTTTCCGTAAAGGTGTGCCAGTTCATTTATTTTAGTTCCCTCATTCCTTTGAAGTGTGTCTTTTTAAATTGATATACTTCTACCCTTGTCCTCATTGCCAATGATTGCCAGGTAATTTGGAAACCAAGGTTTATACAGATGGAAGTCATTTGGTCCAGTGTACCAAATCTCTGCTCGTTCCCCACAGGAGCAATCGACTCTAATTCCACTTCCCTTTGTTTTGTTTTATATCCCCTTTCATATCTTTAATCTGATTTATATATCTAATTCCTTTTAAATACTATAATCTACTTGGCTTGAATAGTCACTTGTGGTCTGGTCCATATTCTATTAACTCTTTGCCCACAAAATATACAGTGAATTCACTTCAGAGTATCCTGTGAAGCACGTTGAGACATCTCAAAGACGTGATAAGGTCCTGAATCCAACGCAAAGATTATTATTATTATTACTGACTCTGTGGCAATGTACACACCCTGTAGGGCTAGGCACTGTCTTTGGGAACATTGCACACTCGCCCCCACAGGGACTGACACTGAGGATGATGAACATTCGTGCTTCATGACATGTATTTGATCATGTTCCTCCCCCTGACATCGGGCATCGGTAAATGACAAATGTGCGTCTTTTGTTTCAGGCGCCAGTTCACTCTCCGTAAAGCTGGCTTACAGATGCCTGTGGAGAAAGCTGGTCGTGTTTATCTCAGTAGATCTATCTTGTTCCATCGCATTCGTGCGGTTTCCTTAATATTTTCCGCTCAATGTCTTAGTGACATTATCTTGTTCTTACCGTTCTGCCGGAACAATAGCAGGAGTTAGTTATCGTTGCCAAAGGAGAAAGGGACCATTGAGTGAAGATTGCTCCCGTTAGTTGAGTAAAAGGCACTCAATAAATTTCAGTCATTCACTGCGTGTGGATCTGCACTGTGTCACTTGCTTAATGGATTGGAAGCTGTAGTCTCCCAGCAGCTAAATCAGACTCCCGCTCTGTCTGGGAGACTGCTTTAGATGACAGGGAAGTATTTCTGTAGAATTCCTACAGCCCCTTCCAATTCCCAAGGGACTTGGCTCCAGACAGCATGGGCTGCAATCAGAAGGTTCTGTGTACAGTGTTACAAACATACAGTACTTTCAGAAGAAGCATACTCCGAGCTACCTGGTGTCTGTTGTTCCCACAACTTCTCCCCCCGTAGGCTTTGTGTACGTAATGCCGTAAGAATAGGCCCTTTAAAAATATCGCTATTTGAGCAAAGGGTAAAGGTGGCAAATTCACCTCTGCGTCCGATTTTTCTGTGAGAAGCCTCGAAGACTTAATAACGGGCTATATCAAATGCAAGGGTTATTATTATTAGTAGCAGTAAGTCATTGATCCTGACAGGGAGCAATTGTGAAAAAATCTGCCCTTTTCCCCAGCACTGAAATATCCTCATCTCCAGAAATGTCAGCCTCTTTTCACGATATTCCCCCTCCTCCCTCACCCAACCCCCCCCCCAAAAGGAGCGAGGCAAATAAAATGTTCACAGAGAATATTTATCAGCTTCTACCAGGAGTTTTGATTTAGATAATAACAACAATAATAATAATCCTTGCATTTGATATAGCACCTGATTACGTCTTTGAGACGTCTCAAAGCGCTCGACGGAATTGACTGTATATTTTGTGGGTGGATCACAGTAACCTTCCGAGCTGACTGAAAGTCAAACAGCTGACCCGTCAGCCTTAGCCGTCAACGGTTGACAGTGTGACCTGCGGGCCGTGCAGATCGGTAGGTGATGCTGTAGCTCGCGGTCCTGTTTGACACCTGGATTAGGCGATTGATGGACATGTGCCTTGTTTGTTTCAGAAGTGGCAGTGTCAGCGGGCTCACCCTCAAGCTGATGAAGACTTCTGTCACTGAGATGCTGGACACACTCTCCGACGACGATTACGTAAATGTCGCATCAGTAAGTCGCCACCGTTCGCAACTCTGTGTATTTTGTGGGCGAAACGCGGCAGCCGAATTGCGCACGGCAGCGTCCCGCAAGCAGCCGTGGATCGAGTGACCCATTTATTCTGTATTGTTATTTCTATTAGCTGATTTGATTTGATTTTCAAAGCGATCCACTTGTCGTGTTCTACTTTTGGATGTAGAATGAACTGCTGCTCAATAACATCTTATTTGGAATCCCTGTTTTCTACTCACGACAGACACAGACTTTCGAGAAAGTCAACAAATAGTTTTATTGCAATATTATTATGAAGCATAATTATCTGCAGTGCATGACATTTTGTTTTAGTGACGCTCCTATGTCAGGAAGGTTAATAGCTCCTGGTCCTCTCATTAAATGCTGAGTAAGGGATTAAATGGAATCCATCTGACGACCTTAGTTTGTTCCTTAATTAACACGTCCACCGCGAGAAAAAAAAATCCCCTGAATTTAGCACAGCTGAGGAACTCTGAATGACGATATTTGTTGTGGAGATAGATTATTGTCGTGTACTGGTATCAACAGGATGTTTGTTCAGTTACTTCGGACACTATTTTGGATCCACAATAATATGTGAGGCATCTCCAGGTCACTTGGTCCAGGCACTTGTCGTAAAAGAACAGGATTGACACCATTCTCCTGTTTCAGTGTGACAAGTTTTAATAATCATATCCTTACGTTTTGCAAAGCGCCTCTCACATCTGGAAGGTGTCCCAAAGCGCTTTGAGGCACTTGATAAGCTACTTTATTGACTGTAAAGCTTAATAATAATTATATTAATAATCCTTGCATTAATAATCCTTGCGTCCTCTTTATCACATTGTTGAAACGTCTCAAAACGTTTCAAAGAATATGTTGTAAAGTGTGTATTTTGTGGGCAAAACATTATTTGCGTTGTGTAAAATTAGAGGTTACGTTTGTCTGATGTACACATCTGACTGTCTGACTGTGTGTTAGTTAGTGATGTGATTTCAGACCTAGATATTAGCAGTTTGTGGTAAGTGATGTCAAATCACCATAGAGGTTAGAAATCCGGGATTTTAGTGAATCTCAAAGACTGCTCTCCAGCTTCTGGAGGTTGCATTTTGGACCTGACTAAGTGAGGGGAGGTCACATAGCAGCCAGGATGAGATAAGACAATTCTAGGGTAAAATGAGATTTTCTATTCTCCATTACACTGCCAGGAAAAGTAGATAGCCGTGCTAATCAGAAACCCAGTTGGAAGAGGCATTTGCTGTTTAACGTGCTATAGGAGCTTATCGGATTGTTATGAAGATGGAATTTTGTCTTGTTCAATCCCTAACTGAGAGGAAAACGTGTCTGCCATTGCTGTGTGAATTATAAATCACAGGCTGCTAGGATGGCTGCTGGAGCCTGATGTTGAGATACTGCCAATTGCTTGCATCTCATTACAATCCCATCTCAATTCTGAAACAATCCAAGCCACTAAAATGAATCACCACCGTGTCACCGGTCTTCAATGCACTTTACTTGTTTGTAAATGCCCAACCCTTCACATTCATTTCACAGACACAGACGCGCATTAGAATACTGAACCGAGCTAAAATGATTTGATAGCCACTTCAATACGTTCTCCGACTCTGACTCCATCCAGTCCTGGTTCTGGGAATTGGATGGTTTGGTTGGTTAACTATTCAGGATGATAAATGGACTGTTGATTGATTATCAGACCTCTATGGCTGGGTTGCGAGTTCAAGGAGATTGGATGCTTGGATTTGTAGTTGGCTTGCCTAGTTGACTGCATTGATTAGCTGGCGAGATGAAGACTTTCCAACTGATTTTCCCACCCCTGCTGAACAGAGTCCAAGTCCATAAATCATTAGGATCAAGTTCACAGACACAGAAAGCAATCAATAAGGCTAATGGGAAGCTGGGCTTTATAACAGGGATATAAAAGCAAGGAAGTGCTGTGTCAGTTATATAGAACTCTGGGCAGGTCACAGATAGAGTATGATGTTAATTTTAGGCTCCCAATCCAATGAATCACGAGATTAATACTCAGGAGGAAGGGCTTTATCTACGAGGGGCTGGATAGATAAGGGTTATACCATATTACTTAAAACTGAGGAGTTTAATCTGAGTCGGCCTTTAAAATAATGAAGGAAATTGGCTATTCAGATAGTGGATAATGTTTTCAGCGTCTATGATATAATACTAATAATTTTTGCATTTGATACAGGGCTTTATCATGTCTTCGAGACGTCTCAAAGCACTTCATAGGATACACTGTAAAGTGAATTGACTGTGTATTTTGTGGGTGAAACGCCTTTATGCCTTTACCTATTGTAACTATCCCTCAAAATCCTTAACCCTCTCTCTTGCCATCTTCAAACCCATTCTGAAACCTACTTCTTTGACTGTGTATTTAGTCATCTTCCCCTGACCCCGTTTCTCCCCTTTAGCTCAGCGCCTCACATTGTAAGGCTTCCTAGGACTCTCTTAACATGTGAAGAGTGCTACATAAAAAAATTTGCTAGCTGTGTTAACATGGTTGGTGGATTGATTGTTCGGGTTAGTTTTCTGGTAAGTTGGCAAGTTATTGATTGGAGTAGCTGAATTATTGGGGTTTGTGTTGCTGGCTCGTGCGGTCAAATAACTAACTGAGTTACGGCAAGTTATTTCGGTGGAATGATAGTTAATGTAATTGCATGCCTCGAAATGGAATTGGAAGCATACTGACAACTAGAATAGAGGTGTCATCACACCTTTATCCTGTGATTTCCCATTATAAAGTCATAAGGTGTTTCAACTGGTTGAGCATCATATTGAGAAACTCAAGGTTCTGAATTTGAATCTATCTGAAGCTGCTCAGCCCTTAATCCCTTTGAGATTTATAAAATGTGCATTTGATCCAGATGTGTAATAATAATAATCCCTGCATTTGATACAGCGCCTTATCGTGTCATTGGGACGTCTCAAAGCGCTTCACAGAATACACTGTAAAGTCAATTGACTGCGTATTTTGTGCGAGGGGGGAGGAGAGGTTTGCCTGCGGCCACACTGGTTCTGGGTAGTAAATATGGCAAAGCCGTGTAGACCCGCAGTAAAAATCCAAAGTGCTCTGAATGGGTGTCCCACCTGCCTGGCTTTTGGCCCCGAGCTGGGGGTTGGGATCAGGAGGGGGTGGAGGACAGGGAGGGTGGGGGGGGTAGATGGGTGGCCGAATGCGCGGTCGAAGAGGAGGGTCTTGAGACGTGCCTTGAAGGAGGCGAGGGAGGGAGGAGCGAGTGGAAGGGACTGTGGGGAGTGGTGGTGCGGGGGGTGGGGGGTAGGTGAGAGGCTGAAGGCCGGACCGCCGATGGTGGAGCCCCATTCAAACAGAGAAGAGTTTCTCCAGTGCATTACGTCATGTAACACGTTTTGGTTGTCTCTTATGACAGTAGGAATGGAGAGCAATCAATCAGAAGTAACAAATATTTTGGAAGATAAGTGGGGGAAGGCTATGGGGAGAGAGCGGGGGGAGTGAGGAAAACTCTTTTCGAAGAGTCACCTTTTCAAAGGCACACACACGATGGGCCAAATAGCCTCCTTCTGTGCTGTGTAGTTCTATTCTATGAATGTTTTTTAAGATAAAGGTTTTTTTTAAAAAGAATCGCAGACCCTGATTATCTCCAGTACCATACGATTTATACCTGGGGGAGTCTGTAATGGGTTAGGATGTGTATCTAGGCCTGATCCTTAATTCAGGGATAGATTTCTGAACAGAGCATAAATCTACAATTATGTAGCTGTCCCAGTGTTTATAATCTATACCACACAGAGACCGGTTTATTGCTGTGTTACTGAAACTGCAGTAAATTGGATATAAGCACCTTGTTAGCGGGTAGAGTTTAACAAGGAATGGATTTTAGTCAATCACCCCAGTGCTGAAAAGCAGCACAGTTTTAGTGATGCAAAGAACTGTAGAAATTGGTGAGATGCATCATATTTTATAATATTCCCCTTCCAGGCATCGCCAATCAATATGTAATTTGCCAGATGACGACCTGTTTTGCTCCCCCTTCTCATCAGAGACTCTGCCATCCACAGCGGATGGGACCTTGGGATTGTTTCTTGATCAGCATCATTAGAGCGGACGTTACACCTGAGTTGCCATTTAATGGAAGTTCAAGGTCAAAGTATCGGAGTGAAGATAATTTGACGCCATCTGCGAGGAGGGGGATGGATGCAGTTACCGGCCTCGTTCAGTGTCATTTCGCTGCAGACAATAGTAATGACGATAATCTGGTCACTCAGTCCACGGCTGTTTGCGGGGACGCTGCCGGGCGCACTTGGCTGCCGCGTTTCGCCCGCAAATCGTACAGTCAATTCACTTTGCAGTGTATTCTGTGAAGCGCTTTGAGACGTCGCGAAGACGTGATCAGGCAAGGATATCAAATCCGAGGATTATTATTATTAGAAACAGCGCCCAGTATCATCGTTTCAAACAGACAAAATATCTTTGACTCAATTAATAATGGAGAATACTCAAAAATAAAAAGGCCAAAGGATATCTCGATCCAATTTTAAGATCTTAATTAATCCTTAATTTAACGGGTGGTATGCATTTGCCTGAATTACTACATTTAGGTTATAAAATATTCAGAATTTATAATCAGGGTAACAATGCAAAGTGCCAAGATGTCCTGACAGTTGTAAGAATTCCTGCCTCAGGAACTCTTAAGGTGAGATAGTGCTTTCCACACATGTACACACACTCTAGCTCGGGAGTTATTTAATTCACTTTACAGTATATTCCGTGAAGTGCGTTGAGACCGTCTCGAAGGCTTGATAAGGCGTTATATCAAATGCAAGGATTATTGTTATTATTATTATCATCAGTAGTATATCTTTGCTGTGGGTTATGTGACATGATATGTGCCACGTGAATTGCTGTAAAGAGGGTAAAATGTTGAGTAGTGACAGACTCGAAATAAATCTAATGGGGCTTGCTTTAGTCCGCAATTTGCTTTTTTTCCCCGTTCATCAGTGTAAAGTGTTTACTGAGTTAATCTAATATTGGGAAAGGCAGAGTAAAGTAAACAGCAACGTTGCTAAAAGGGCCCTCACCACTCAAAGGCTTTTGTTATTCATGTGTAAGTGGCAGCGAAATTACAGACCATTTCGATACAGGGTTTTATCTCGGGAATAGATTGGTCCAATCTCTTGAAATTTCCAGACCCTCTTCAGGTAATTATGGCAAACATCTGAGAAACATGGCTAACATGGCTCCTAAAATGTTTTAACAAACTTAATTTTGGGAGGCCCTCGTTCAGGCAATTCGGTTTATTAACATTTTATAATAATAATCCTCCCAATTGATACAGCGCCTTATCACGTCTTCGAGACGTCTCAAAGTGCTTCATAGGATACACTGTAAAGTGGAATGACCGTGGGACTCCTATTCGGAAAGGTGGTTGGGGGGAGTGTAGTAGTAGTTCCTTTGGGAAGTGAGTAGTACCTTCCTGGTGGGAGTTATATGATTAACATTCTTTTCCATTCTCTTCCCCGTGGGTTTCCACTCGGAAGAAACGCAGTTGTTGAATCGATGATTACCGAGTGCTGAAGGGGTCTGTGATTTGCTGCATAAGCAGAGTATGTCTTGCAGTTTGATAAGGTCACAGCTGAAGGCTATTCTTATTAACAATTCCAGTAATGCCTAATGTTGATATTCATATCAACAATTGCAGTTATGTGTAATGCAATGTTCATATTAATGATCATAGTTATGTATAATACGATATTCTGTGTGTCAGGGCCATGCAAACGCTCTGTGATTAAACCTTGACGGCGTAGTTTTCTTTGAAGCCTCCGCTTGAACTTGAGGAGTTATTCGTGGAACTGACGCACAAAATGAGTCCCCGTTCTTGGGTCAGACACTGAGTTATTTTGAGAAACGCCGTCTCTTTTCAATAAGTCAGGGAGAAGGTGTCTGCGAGTTTTACGCAAAAATAATTCTCTTTGAGGGCAATTTCTTGCTGTTAAGTAAATTCCATTTACAGAACAAATTTAATGATTCACTCGTCCGTGAGAGAGAGAGAGAGAGAGAGAGAGAGAGAGGATACCTCCACATGGCCCTGAATCAGAATTCTATTCACATTTTTTTTTGATATATTGAAATCAAACGCGGATAAATTGCAGATTGCGGAATTATCTCTCCTGATCTGATTTAGATGGATTGCTCCATCTGTACGTGATCACAGTGTTGAGATCCATGCTTAGTTTGCTCAGTTAAAGGGATAGAGCGAGGAGGGAGATTGGAAAGTATAAGGATCCGATTTCTGTTTTATTATGACAGATAGTCTCATAATTCACCGGGGTCATCTGAGAGAGTGTTGGGGGAAAATTTATAGAGATTAAACGCTTGATTTACGAACACACCAATCAAATTTCCATCATCTTACTACTCAATGTATGGTACAGTTCCCTATAAACTTCTTCCCAGATGGAAGCCATTCATTTAGATTTTATTGCAATAACCTGAATGAGATCTTCATTTTAAAGAGACAGATCATTATTACTTTTACCCTCTCAGTATGTATTAAATATATATATATATATATATGAGCAACATGTTTGCCTGGAAGAGAAGAGATGGATGACGGTAGCCACCAGCTTTCTGATTTTCCCCTCACCCCAAAACCTGAATGTGTAGTTTGAGAATGCAAATGCGGGAACTTAGATGATTTTTTAATTTCCTGAGGCTGGAAGCCGATCCACAGAGTAAAGCTTTGTTGAAATCTTGTGGAAACTAGCCAGACGTTGATTTGAACTTTGCAGCTTGTGTCCTCCTTCAAGAGGCCCATCTCAAGACCCTGCTCTTCGACCGCGCCTTCGGTCACCCCCTTACCCCCACCCTCTCTGCCCTCCACCCCCACCTGATCCCAACCCCCCCCCCAACCCCCAGCTCGGATCCAAATCCCTGACTGTCCAGCGCCTTGAAAGGCGCCGTGTAAATGTCACTTGTTTGCGTCTGGTCAATAAATGACCAGCGTGGAATTGGATTTGCGCGAGACCTTGAGTGATCTGCGGTTTTTGCTGTTGTGAATGCTGGTGCTCGCTTGGCCTGGGAGTAATGCCGCCTTTCTGTCTGCTGTCTCCTCCAGTTTAATAATGAAGTCAGTCCCGTGTCTTGCTTCAAGAACCTGGTTCAAGCCAACGTACGTAACAAGAAAGTTCTGAAGGATGCCGTATTCGAGATGATCGCCAAAGGAACAACAGATTACACATCAGGATTCGAATATGCCTTCCAACAGCTGAATGTAAGTGCAACTACCAATCGTGGACAATTGCATTATTGATCGGATCGGATCGGAGGGTGGATGATTGCCTGGAATCTTCTGAACTTTGTCCCTCCTCCTCCTCTGTGCCTTCTCTTGCCTCTTGTTATGCATGTTAGTCTTCTAACATGATGAGGTTGGACTCAACGCAAACTAGAATTAGTATTTACCACGGGAATGCTGCTTTGGCCTGGGCACCACAAGTACTCTCTCACCATCTGGGTCTCTCCAAAGCATCTGCATCCAGATTATTACAGTCAATCTTTCGTTTCAACCACATTCCTTAACAGAGCTCCTTTGTCACTAACACGGCGGGGTTTGAACAAAAATAGCCATTAAAAATGCACATTGAGATAAACAGAATTGATGCTCAAATTAGTGCAACTATTTGCAACTGACCTTAAGTTACCAACAAACAAACAAGCAAAATTAAGCCCAATGGCAGATCAGGAGAGCACAATGTGTGCAATACACATTCAATGAATCAATCCATTATCCTTTGTAGGGTCATCTCCTGAATCAGCACAAGAGTTCCAAATCCACTGTTGAACTGTATATTTTGTGGGCGAAACGCGGCAGCCAATTGCGCACAGCAGCGTCCCCACCGACAGTCGTGGATTGAGGGACCAAATTATTATTTTTTTGGATGGCTGTGGTTGATAAATGGACGCTGATTATGGTGTGCGCGTGCGTGTGTCCCTTCCAGGCCACTGTCCCCCGTGCAAACTGCAATAAGATGATAATGATGTTCACCGACGGTGGAGAGGATCGAGCTCAGGAAATCTTTGAGACGCACAATTGGCCTCACAAGACGGTGAGTAAAGCGTGAAAAATCGATGCACAACTCTTTTGTTCATAGGGATCAACTCGGAAATGTCAGCCGCAGACCATCTGGAGCTGTAACCAATAACAGTAATCCTTGCATTTGATATAGCGTTTCAAAGCGCTTCACAGAATATACTGTAAAGTGAACTGACTGTATGTTTTGTGGGCGAAACGCGGTAGCGAATTGCGCACAGCAGCGTCCCCACAAACAGCCGTGGGTTGAGTGACCAAATTATTATTTAGGATTCAGAACAACAAGCCCCCATCTCATTTTTTTTAAAGGAATTATTACGCCCGGAAAAGTGATCCACCAATCGACTAACTTACTGCTGGTAAACAGAGGTGTGTGTGTGTGGAGTAAGGAAACTCGCCCAATGTTTCCCCCTGTCCTGCCCCGGAATCGAACCCGGGTCCTCTCGCTTGCGAGGCGAGTGCTCTAACCGCTGAGCTGCAGGACTGCACACATTTTAACTTTTCAGACCCTGTCACATCTGGCGTTTGAAGTCCTCGGAGTGTGTTTCAGACGCTCCTTTATGAGCTTCATGGCTTTGTGTAATTTCTCCCTTCCACGGACGGAAATGTTCATCTTGTGCTGAAAAAAGCAGATTTGAATTCAATTAATTTCTTTTCCCAAAATTAAACAGAGAAACGTGATCAGCTTCGCAGTTTACTCTTATTTCCTTTTACTTGTTTACTGTGGCCAGCGTAAATATATATATGATGTCCCACTTATTACTGTGATCCCCCATTAACACCAGTCACAACAGGTAATTAATTTGCTTCTTTCTCATTAACTAAATCAGTAGATTCGAATAATTCAATCGTTTTCTGTTTGGTCGTCTTAATTTAGCACTGCTGGTAAGTGAAGATAAGCTGTGTGTCGAATTTTGCTGCCTGGATGACAAGTTAAAGCACTCACTGCTGCACAACTATCTGAAGTTGTTTCGTGTCTGTGAGCCAGGACATTTCTGCTGGTCTCTCAGTCACTGCTTTGTTGTATGTAAACTTTTAACGGCTTTGTTACTGGCAATATGCTGTCGTGTTTACGGCAGTGCTGTGCGAAGAGAGCAGAATCATTCGCAAAGGTAAACAGAGATCTTTACCGAGTGGCTTAGTTATGGCAGGCTGAGTTCATCATGACGAAAGGTGGGTTTAGCACGAGTTTGGACGTGGAAATAGCAGCTGGGAATATATTCTAAATGGGAGATCGTGGGGAGAGGAGGGAACGACGTACAAAGGGGAGAATTAAGTGCCTGGGGTCGTCCTCCTGACGTGGAAGGGACTATATCGAATGTAAATGTGAGCTGTATTGCAAGAGCATCGGCGGCCTGAGTTAGTTCGCGCTTGCAGAAAGCAATCAGAAATGCTAACGGGGGTATTTGTCGTCGTAATAAGTTGCCGCGATTTGTGCTTGTCAATATAGAATCAAAAGAAATTGCAATATAGAAGGAGGCTCAGCAGCCCATTGAGCACTGACACAAACAGTTTATCCTTCTTTTCCCGACCAAGCCTTCCACATTCTTGTTCTTCCTATATTTAGCCAGTTCCCTCTTAAATGTTGTTATATTTAAGAGTGGAGTCCTGTAGCTTCAGTGGCTAAAGCACATTTATCCTTCCCCTCCATGTGTTATGGATACCAAAGGTAAGATATGGATAGTAATAATAATCCTTGCATTTGATACAGCGCCTCATCAAACCTTCGAGACGTCTCAAAGCGCTTCACAGGATATACTGTAAAGTGTAGTGACTGTGTATTTTGTGGGCGAAACGCGGCAGCCAATTGTGCACAGCAGCGTCCCCCACAAACAGCCGCGAACTATGAAAAATCGACTGCTAAATAAGGAAAAGAAACAGAGGATTGGCTTTAGGGAAACTCTGGTCAGAATGGGAGGGGAGGTGAGTGGGATGCCACAGGGATTCATGCTATCCACCCTCCCTGTTCCTGGTGTACAGAAAATGACCTGGATTTGAAGATTCAGGGCAAATAAATAAATTTGCAGATAATAATAATAATCCTTGCATTTGATATAGCGCTTTTCACGTCTTCGAGACGTCCCAAAGCGCTTCATAGAACACACTGTAAAGTGAATTGACTGTATATTTGTGGGCGAACGCGGCGGCCAATTGCGCACAGCAATGTCCCACAAACAGTCGTAGATTGAAAATGACCAATTTATTATTGTTGTTGGTTTTGGAGGGTTATTATTAGGCTCTGTGTGGAGTAAGGAAATTTGCCCAAGGTTTGGCCCTGACCTGCCGGGGATTGAACTCGGGTCTCTCACTTGCAAAGCGAGTGCTCTAACCACTGAGCTACAGGACACACCCAGCGACAGGGAACTGTCTAGAATCAGAGCAGTCAGCCAAGATCATACAGAAAGAGCTCAGCGGGGAAGGTACCTGGGCTGATCACTGACAAATGAAGTTAAGTGCAGATGAATGCACAGTTCTGTCCCCTGCCCCTCGCCACATTACTCACTCACCGGCTTCCCAGTGGGTGGTTTCTGGTTGGCACAAATGCTTCCTGTTCTCAGCTCCACACTGACTGGTGAAGTGGGGAATTCTTTGCAAAGCAATCTGTACTGACAAGCAGTTCGCTATGGCTCTCTCTCAACCCCTCGGCGAGTGACTCAATAAGAGCAGAGGAGACAAGCACATACCAAATGGTTATCACACTAAGGAAACTAAGGGCCCAACGTTTCGACCTGTCCGGGAATCGAACCCGGGTCCTCTCGCTTGCGAGGCGAGTGCTCTTAACCACTAAGTTACAGGACTCCAATGGGCTGAATGGCCACCTTCTGGAGAGATTGTCGTGTCTCAACCAGGCCATCAAGAGATAAACCAGTGGAGGTGGCAAACCACTGTATATCTGATAACTGGGTGCTGCTTTTCCTCTGTGACTCGGAGGTCAGTATATAACAATAATAATCCTTGCATTTGATACGGCGCCTCATCACGTCTTCGAGACGCCTCAAAGCGTTTCACGGAATACGCTGTAAAGTGAATTGACTGTACATTCTGTGGGCGAAACGCGGCAGCCGATTGCGCACAGCGGCGTCCCCACAAACAGCCGCGGGTTGAGCGACCATATTATTTATTTATTTATTTCGGAGGGATCGTTACCCCCGGAAAAACATTTATTTGCAACGCCTGCACGGAGACCGTCCACCAGTGGCGAATTAGCCTGTGTAATTAGGGTGAGTGTGCGCGCTGGCGATATTGCAGCGCGTGCAAATGAGTGGCTGAGTTGGCTGCTGAAACCGGCACTCCTCCCTCAGTCCGTTAGTAAATTTTTACACCTGCGAAATACCCCAGAGAGCCGCAGAGTTCATCGGCAGTTCAATTGGGATATTTGGCTTCATTTCTTTGAAGTAAGATTTGCAGCATGTGTTCAGCATTATGACCTGATGCCTAATTAGGCAGTTAATCATAGCAGTAGGAACTGCACCACCGTGACAGGTTAGCTGCTAATCATCATCATGCCAACAGGAGCAAAGAAATACGCACGGAACAAAACCAGGGACCTAATACAGAACAAAGTGGAGAGGTGGAGACAGAGCGAGAGAGAGAGAGAGAGAGAGAGAGAAGTTAAGGGATTCATTCACACTAAACTGTCTCAATTGGAATACACTTCAAGCCGCATTACTTTGATGGCCCAATGTGTAAATGGACCAGCTGTTCTGGTGCTGGGCCACACAGACACACAGACTAGGACCCGCTCCGTTATAGCGCCCGCACGCTTCGTTTGTAAAACGAGAATAAATCTCTGGGATTGCCGAAATCGAGAGAGAGGGCTCCGACACGGCTGCGGAGAAACTGTCGGAGTTCTCGGCTGTTGGATAAAAGGTAATTGGCTTCCAATACCACGGGCTGTGAGTGCCCTCTGCTGGTCTGCAGCACAACAATAAGAATACATTCCACACAGCGCCTCATCACGCCTTCGAGACGTCTCAAAGCGCTTCACAGGGTTACACTGTAAAGGGAATTGACTCTATGTTTTGTGGGCGAACCGCGGCAGCCGATTGCGCGCAGCGGCGGTCCCCGCAAACAGCCGCGGATTGAGGGACCAAATTATTATTTATTTATATAGACCTTTACAGCACAGAAAGAAATCCGGCCATCAAGCCCACCGAGTCTTCGAGGACAATAGCAACAACTTGTATTTGTATAAGCGATCTTCACGCAGGGTGGTGTCCTGGAGTGCTTGACGGTGGCGTAGAGGGAGGGAGGGAGGGAGCGTAAGCACGATCAAAAAGGAAGATCTTTAGGTGGTATCTGAAAGTGGGGTGTGATGGAGTGGGGGTGGGAGTGGGAGGGGCGAGGCAGTGGGATTGAGGGAGAGAGTTCCAGTTTATGATGGCTCTTTGAAAGAGCGATGCGTTGGTCTTTATTATCTTGCCTTTTTCCCACAATCCCGGCAAATGACTCCTTTTTTATTCAGTTTCCTCTTGAAAACCAGCATCAATTCTGCCCTTGGCAGAATCTTATCACAACACTGAAACATATCAAAGCGCTTCACGGGATTTACTCTTAGAGCAGAGGTCTCCAACCGGTCGATGATCAAAGAGACAAGAGGAAGGAGCAATAAAACTGCTTGGATTTTGAGTCCAATTGAAAACAAAGCCAGATGCGCAAAGTATTTAATGCATCTCGAAATAAATACATAAACTCTAAAGTTTAAACTGCGTTAAAAATCCCTCTTCCCTTTTGTTTTTTATTGAACGTGTACGAGGCGCCACCTAGGGATTGACCGGATGACCTTGTCTGGAGTGTAGTGACTGTGTATTTTGGAGGTGAACATGGAACATGGGTGTCTGACCCGTGCGGAAACCCATCACCGTTGCTTAAGCTGAGATCCAAATCAAGTTGAGAATTCCAGGTATCCCACTTCCCACGTGGAAATCCCAGAGATTGAATCTACAATCTAACTGAGAGACTCTTTTAAATCGAGTTATTTTTCAAGTCCACTGGTCTATCGAGACCAGTGTGGCTCATACAACAACAACAACAACAAGATTCCATTTATAGAGCGCCTTCCGTCAGGACGTCCCAGGCTGCACGTTGGTCATGACCGAGCAATGGTCGGTAAGGGAAATGGCATGAAGGGAAGGGAGGGAGCGAGGAGGAGGAAGAGAGTCGAGAGGGGAGCTGAAGGCACGGTCAAAGAGAAAGGTTTTGAGACCGGCCTTGAAGGAGGAAAGGGAGGAAGCGGCGAAGGCACTGGGGGATGGAGTTCCAGAGCCTCGGGGCTGAGAGGCTGAAGGCCCGACCACCGATAGTAGGGCGGTTGGGGCGGGGGACGTGGAGCAGACCGGAGCCAGAGGAACGGAGGGTACGGGCAGGTAGGTAGGGGGATAGTAGGTTGGAGAGGTAGGAGGGAGCAAGGCCGTGAATGGCCTTGTAGGTGAGGATGAGGATCTTGAAATCAATCCTCTGGGGGATGGGGAGCCAGTGGAGGCGAGCGAGGGTGGGAGTGATGTGGGCGCGGTGTCTGGTGCGGGACAGTACACGAGCTGCAGAGTTCTGAATGACCTGCAGTGTGGAGGGAGGTGCCGGGAAGGCCGGCGAGGAGAGAGTTCCCATAGTCCAGCCTTGAGGTGACAAAGGCGTGAACCAGGGTTTCAGCGGCGTGAGGGGTGAGGTAGTGCCGTAATCTGGCGATATTCCGGAGGTGATGGAAGGCGGTGCCAGTTGTGGTGCGGATGTGAGGGAGAAAGGACAGCCCAGGGTCGAACAAAACGCCGAGGTTCCTGACTGGCTTTGAGAGGTGGAGAGTGCAGCCTTGGATGCTGATGGTGTCGGTGCCTGAGGTGCGGAGGCGCTGACGTGAGCCAATCAGGAAGGCCTCAGTTTTGCGCACGTTGAGCTGAAGAAAGTTGTCTCTCGTCCAGGACTTGATGTCGGACAGGCAGGCTGTCAGGACATCGGTGGTCGTGGAGTTGAGAGTAGAGGAGGAAAGGTAGAGTTGGGTGTCATCCGCATACATGTGGAAGTTAACCCCATGTTTGCGGATGATGTCACCAAGGGGGAGCATATAGAGGGTGAAGAGGAGGGGACCAAGGACAGAGCCCTGAGGGACACCACATGAGACAGTACGGGGGTAATCCATCAGAAACCAGAATACCTACCAGCCTTTGACGCAGCAAAGAAGACAACTGAATCTTGTCACATTTACCTTTACTGTGTCCCTCTCTGTCTGTCTCTCTTCTATAGGTGCGAGTATTTACTTTCTCAGTTGGGCAACACAACTACGACGTCACACCTTTGCAATGGATGGCGTGTGCCAACAAAGGTTTGTAATATTAATGATGATGATAATAATAATAATCCTTGCATTTGATACAGCGCCTCATCACATCGTCAAGACGTCTCAAAGCGCTTCGCAGGATATGGTGTAAAGCAGCCAATTGCGCACAGCAGCGTCCCCACAAACAGCCGCGGATTGAGGGACCAGATTTTTTGGGAGGAATCATTGGACTTGTTGAAGTCGAGGACCATTGAAGCCAGGGTGTGGTGCCATCTGGAAGCAACGGTTTAGCTTTTACTACTAATCTGCTGTCGCGACATTGGTCATCCCAGTGGTTTTCAACCTGATCTTAAATTCCCATTTCTTTGCATTCCGCAGGATATTATTTTGAAATTCCTTCCATCGGAGCCATCCGAATCAACACCCAGGTGAGTGGCTCGATACAACGCCTCGGTTTCTGCCCGAGTGAAGTTATCCAGGCGAACCGGACTGGCAAAAAAGAACTCGATTCCAAAGGAACGTCCAGTTTAGTCAGACACCTGTTAAAATGCTTCATTATCACAAGTCATCCGCGTGGGATTTGCTGTCCCTCTTTTGTGTTTCGCTCTATGTAGCTACAGGGGATTTGCCAGTATGCTGAAGTAATTCGTGTTAATTGGGGCAGATATCCAGGCTGCATCCAGTTAATGTAATCTGACAGTCTTATACAAGCTAACCTTACTTTATCTAATAGCTCCCCAGATTCCCCCAGTCCGTTGTATTTAGAACTACCACATCACCTACTCATTATCCAGGAGATGGTGAAACAACATCTTGAATCCCTTGTCCATCTGCCTTCCAGTAAACACTTAAATCTCAAACCTTGTTTATGTGTGTTGGCTTGCTCAAGCTCGTGGCAGGCAGATTGGGAGCGTGACAACCGCTCATTAAACACCATATTCTTACGTTTTGTTCCCAAAAAAAAGAGCTGCTTTATGGATGGAAAAGAAAGAACTTGCTTTTTATAGAGCCTCGTCACATTGAAACGCCGTACGTAGTAATTGTGAGTCGAGCCTTGCGTCGGATCTAGCAGCCGTTTGCTCTGTTAAGGTTCTGCAAAGAACCGTGATAATAATAATAATAATAATTATTAATAATGAAAAATAATAATAATTGATGTGAATGACAGATGAATCTGAAGGGTTGTTGTCCAGGAGAGAACCTGAAACTACACCTGAACAGGCAGGTGTGACTCTGGTTTAATGTTTAGCGATCAGGAAGACAGAAAGGGGAGGCTTGATTTATACAGAGAGGCACCATTAGAACCTTTTAACACAAAGAGAGGACCACATTCAACCACTACTAATAATAATTCTTGCATTTGACTCAGCGTCTTATCACGCCTTCGAGACGTCTCAAAGCGCCTCACAGGACATACTGTAAAGTGTAGTGACTGTAGATTTTGTGGGCGAAACGCGGCAGCCAATTACACCCTATACACCTAGATATACACCTAGAAGCCAGAGGAGAAGAGATCACACTAGGGACTCCGCTAAAAAAGAATAACGTCATCAGTAATGGAGATTTTGATAATAATCCCTTTAAAAAAAAACAATAATTAATGTGGTCACTCAATTCACGGCTGTTTGTGGGGACGCTGCTGTGCACAAATGGCTGCTGTGTTTCGCCCACAAAATATACAATCAATTCACTTTGCTGTGGATTTTGTGAAGCGCTTGGGGACGTCTCGAAGACCTGATAAGCCGCTATATCAAATGCAAGGATTATTATTATTATTTGATCGAAGAATATGTGCCTTTAGACCAGGGAAGTGGCACCAGTATCTAAGGTGCAGATTCAATATAAAGTGCTCCAATAAACAAGGCAGCCCTGTCACTCGCTGTAAATTGTGCCAGACATACTAATGTGAACGTTACTGTAAAAATTTGAATAAATGTATTATTTAAAACGCAACGCTCTGAAGGAGGATGGACAAGTCAGTCGTGGTTTGTTAAACCGTGTGTGTCATGTATAATTGTAGTCGTTTATAAGTCGTTGATGACTGACACTTGATGGTGCATTCAGCTGCTGAGCAAATCATTTTCCACGTGCAGCAAAACGTTGGATCTCAAAGAACTCTAAAAGTTGAAATGGGAACGTAACACGATATAATTCAGTTGATTTTGTCGGAAAAAACTTTTCACTAGAGTTTTCAGTTGACTGGATACTGATATAATGACAGTAAAGTAATCCTCTGTATACATTTTTTTTAGAAATTACGAAAATGACTTGGTCACTCACTCAAACCACACCTGTTTGTGGGGACGCTGCTGTGCACAATCGGCTGCTGTGTTTCGCCCACAAAACATACAGTCAATTCACTTTACAGTATATCCTGTGAAGCGCTTTGAGACGTCTCAAAAGACGTGATGAGGTGCTTTATCAAATGCCAGGATTATTATTATTATAACTAATAGATTATGCACTAACAAATCCTGCAGTAATGTTATGTAATGCAATCAATATAATTTATGTGAGCAAAATAAAATAATGCAAATGCAATTCAGTGTAATTGCAGTGTAACTGGTGCAATGCCACAGCAATATATTCAATATAACTAATGTAGTAAAACTACTCTAGCTGATGAATATTTGTTCCGTATCCTGCGGTCAAAACCAGAATAACCTAATTTTCCTAGGGAAATGCAGAATCTCACAGAACAGCGGGCTTAATTCTGTTATTAAAATGCATTGGATTTTCAAACGGAATCTTTTAATTCGCAACCTGCAGTGTAAACCCTTGGTGGTTTTCACCGTGTCCTAGTTTGACATGACAGCCCCAAACCAAGGGAGTAGTAGTGAGGGTTCCCCAGAAGATGGAGCTTGAGAACCAAAAGTAAACCTCTTCAGAACTTGGAGTAACTCCTTTCCTTTGACTTTTGACTTGTGGAGCCCCGTAGTGGAGTAGTTAGAGCACTCGCCTCGCACGCAAGAGGATCCGGGTTCAATTCCTGGGCGGGAAGAAACATTGGGCGAGTTTCCTTAAGCCACACATGTGCCTCTGTTTACCTGGTGGTAAGTCGGAACCCCGCTTGTTAGTCAATCTGCGGATCGCTTTTCCTGGTGTAATAATCCCTTCAAAAATAAATAAATAATATGGTCACTCAATCCACGGCTGTTTGTGGGACGCTGCTGTGCGCAATTGGCTGCCGCGTTCGCCCACAAATATACAGTCAATTCACTTTACAGTGTGTTCTGTGAAGCGCTTCGGGACGTCCTCCCGACGTGAAAAGCGCTATATCAAATGCAAGGATTATTATTATTATTATTATTATATTCTGTGAAGCGCTTTTGAGACGTCTCACACGCAGTCGTGAGTTGAGTAACCAAATTCATTTATCTTTATGTTCCCCCTCTGCGTGAATGATTACTCCATCACATTTCGAACCATGTTGGAGAAAGATTTATTGTGAATTGAGGGTAGCTAATAAGTAAATGCATCATTTGAGAAATTATGGTTCATTGTTGGTTTGGCGAATGATCACTTGAGTGCATCCTGTATATGTTCACGTTTCAGGAATATCTGGACGTGTTGGGACGCCCCATGGTGCTGGCAGGAAATGAAGCCAAAAATGTGCAGTGGACAAATGTCTATCAGGATGCTCTGGTAAGGTGTCCAAATAGAATGCTTTGTTTCTCACAAAAAAAAAGGAAGCTTTCATATAATATTTTTTTTATTTGCGAATGGTTATTTCCACAAGAGTCTTCCTTCAGGAACTGTTGCAAACTAATTGCCTTCAAAATATGATCTTATCCAGTTGCCCCCACCCTTTGGAACTCCATCCCACAGTCCCTGTCTCCCTCGCCTCACTCTTCTTCTCTCCCTCCCTCCCTTCACCCCTCGCCTCCTTTAAGGCGCGTCTCAAGACCCTCCTCTTCGACCGCGCCTTCGATCACCCTCCTACCCCTGCTCTCACTAACAGGTCCACACCAGCTGTCCGCACAGTTCAGAACAAACCTCAGTCATATCAGACATTCAGATTGATGAGGTTCAATGCCTTTGGGAGCTGTGGAAACCAAGACCACTACGGGGTGATTACAATACAATACAAAATGACATTGGTTTAGCGCCTTTCGCGGCTGGAAGACATCCCAAGGCGTTCGGGGTGGGGAGTGCCTGTGGGTTTGGATCCAGATTTGCATCCAGAAAAATGCACAGCCTTCTGTAACTGAGGTTGGCAACGTCCCTGATATGGGCAGCCAAGACTCAAATGAGACTTGGCGTAGTGTTAGACGTGGCAGCCTGCACTTGTTGGAGTCTGGCACAGTGTGGTAGCACAGGAAAGTGGTTTTCAGAAAACCCAGTGATCTGCTAAAAACCTGTTCTCACCCATTCTGTGTCTTTTCAGATTTGTTGAATACATTATTAAGGATCCACAATGTGGTCCCTCGAATGGTCTTTGAACTATTGTATGCATGACTCGATCATTTCTATACATAAACATAGCTCAAAGTCCATTCGGGGGACATTGTGTGGATCTCAGTAATGTATTGAACAAATCTGAAACCACAGAAAAATGATTTTGGAATCTGAGATTATTGAAAGCCGCCCTGATTGCAGGCACGCAAAGTATAAACACTTGATCATTTGTTTACACAAAAGCCGAGTGGGTACATGCTCACACCAGAGTCGTGGTAGTTTGGTTTTCAATTGTGTCTCCACAACACGGTCTGCAATTGAATTGGGCGGTAAATTCAGAACAGATCTGTGGAGACACAACTTAGGGTGAGCGAGGAGTAAACGTATGGACAGACGTGGCAGCAGAAAATGTTGTTTGTTTCAAGAACAAAGAGATAGATTTCTGCTAGAAAATAATATCCTGGGGATACGGTGTATAGTTTGGGGACGCGACATGTCAAGCGACTGCCAGGATAGTGGTGGAAGGTGAACCAGATGGACCTTGGTCTTCTCTCGCCAGCAAATCCTTATGTTCTTATGATAACTGTTAAACATTCTGTGCTGATATAAATGATGCTATAAGAATGGTCACATGTTCTGATTTGTTATTCTTAGGGCCTTGGACTAGTAGTTACAGGAACGATGCCGGTCTTCAATCTTACAGTGGACAATGGCCAACAGGTAAGGGATTTGGTTGCGTGTCCTTTGGTTAGACTTGAGGAGCCCTCCACCCAGGGCAGGGGCTCAGAGCACTCAACATTCTGTCATGTGAAATCTCAATGTTTTCACCCAAGGGGTAAGAATAATAATAATAATAATAGTGGAAATCTGGAACTCTCTCCCCCAAAAGGCTGTATCTGGGGATACAGCGTGTAGTTTGGGGACACGACAGGTCAAGCGACTGCCAGGATGGTGGAAGGCGAACTGGATGGACCTTGGTCTTGTTTTGCCAGCAAATTCTTATGAAAATAATCCTGGATTAAACAGTGTCCCTCATATGTTTCACATATTGAAACTACCTTTCAGTTTTTATTGGAGGGCATGAGGCAGATTATCACATACTTTTTCTATAACCTTTAATTCTCAGCTGCACTTCATTGTAATATTTCCTTTGTCCCTTAACGTTTCTTCCCCTTAACCATTTTTACCAAACCCTTCTTTTCTTTTACAGAATCAGCTAATTCTTGGAGTGATGGGGATTGATGTCTCTCTCAATGACATCAAGAAGCTCACCCCTCGTTACAATGTATGTGGATGATTATTATTACAGACCGAGGATAATAATAATAAAAAAGATAATAATAATCCTTTCATGCTTCACACAATATATTGTAAAGTGAATTGACTGTATATTTTGTGGGTGAATCATTGGGCAAGTTTCCTTACTCCACACACACACACACACACACACACACACTTCTGTTTACCCGGCAGTAAGTAGGAACCCGGTTGTTAGTCGACTGGCGGATCACTTTTTTCCGGGGGTAATAATCCCTTCAAAAATAAGATAATAATAATTTGGTCAAATAATAATAATAATTTGTACTCAATTGGCTGCCGTTTTTCGCCCACAAAATATACAGTCAATGGGTTTGAAGATGGCAAGAGAGAGGGTTAAGGATTTTGAGGGATAGTTACAATAGGTAAAGGCATAAAGGCATTTCACCCACAAAATACACAGTCAATTCACTTTACAGTGTATCCTGTGAAGTACTTTGAGACGTCTCAAAGACGTGATAAAGCCGTTTGTCAAATACAAGGATTATTATTATTATTATTAAGGAGAGATGACTTCCGGCGGTACGATCTACCAGGCACATGAGGGCTACTTGTTTGCTCCTGTGTTAAGTTGATAGTTCAAATGTGGCCCTTTTTGGTGATGTCTCACTTTGTTTCCTAATGACAGTTAGGGGCCAACGGATACTTTTTTGCCATTGATCCAAATGGGTACGTCCTCCTCCACCCCAACCTAAAGCCGAAGGTGAGATATTCCAACAAAAATTGGTCTGTGCAGAGAATGTGTGGAGCAATCTTTCATCCAAGATCTTGTGTAGGTTTTTGTGTTCAATAACATTGCAATGATTGAAGTAATTCATTCATCGCCCAATAATAAGTGTATGAATTAACCTTTAACCCTTGATATATGTGCAATTATCCTTCGCACTGTCTATAATGAGTGTATAATTAATGTTTCATATTCAAAGACTTGAGAGTTATTGCGTACTTTATCTCAAAGAATGTTCACGACGATTATAATAATGAATGCTTCACCCACAAGGTATGTAAGTAGATGCTTCACACGTTTGACTAACTATGTGGGATGATAAATCCTGACATTGGGTGAATCGTGAAAACATGTTCTGTTTCCCAGAAACTGCTATTGCACGCATCATTAACATACACAAATATCAGAAAAATCATCGCCAGATATTTCCGAGAGAGCAAATTCAAATGAAGAGAGTGTGTATGGACCTCTTTGTTTTTAAGAGACGATCTTTTCGTCAGCCTGGCTCAGCGGTAGCGCTCTCACCTCTGAGTCAGTAGGTTGTGGGTTCAAGCCCCAAGTCGGGTCTTGAACTCAGACGGTCTAAACTGGCATTCAAATGCAGCGCTGGGGGATGGGGAGGGCTTGTTGCATTGTCGGAGGTGCCGTCCTTCGGATGAGATGTTAAACCAAAGTCCCGCTGCCTGTGCAGGTGGACGTTCAAGATCCCACGGCAACATCACAAAAGTGAAGGGAGTTTCTCCCGGTGTCCTGGCCAACAATCCCCCCCCCACACATCACATTGATCATTCGCTTTATGGCTATTCATGGAACGTTGCTGTGCACAAATCAGCTGCCGTGTTTGGCCGCAAATAATATTATAATAATAATCCTCGCATTTGATACGGCGCCTTTTCACGACTTCCAGACGTCTCAAAGCGCTTCACAGGATACACTGTAAAGTGAATTGATTGTAGATTTTGTGGGGGAATTCGGTCATTCCACATCACAGTAAATCCCGTGAAGTGCTTTGGGCCATCCCCCCGATGTGAAGGGGGCTTTACCAAATGCGAGGATTATTATAATTATTACGATGATGATTATTATTCTTTCAAGGGCTCTGGGTGTTAACATGATAACAGTAACTGCAAGATGTGGGATATTTGTGACTTTCCACTCTTAATATTTGTCTGCAGATTATAAATTTCGGTGAGCCTGTTACTCTGGATTTCCTGGATGCTGAACTAGAAGACGCAAACAAGGAAGAGGTTAATTCACACTTAATCCACCTTATCCATTCTGCCTTCCCCCCCCTCCGGCTCTGCCCCTGGCCTGCCTCTCCCCTCAGCCCGCCGAGACCCTCATCCATGCATTTGCCACATCCAGACACGCCAACTCCCTGCGTGTCGACCTTCCCAACCCTTCCCTCCACCAGCTGCGGTTCATTCAGAACTCTGCAGCTCGTGTCCTCTCCCGCACAGGCTCCGTGACCCTATCACCCCCACCCTTCTTGTTTCTTCTTCGAGACACAATGTTAGTAGGAACTGCACTCTGCACTGTGTTGTACCAACACTGAAGGACCAAACTTGACTGACAAGTCTATTACATTTCTATTGAATTGAAAGGAAGAATCCTGGGTAAAACCAGAAGCAATTTTCTTTGTGTTTGAAGCGCTCTTGTCTGCCTATACTATCTGGCAGCTGTATTTGTTGCCTTTTTTTAAAGATTCGGAAAAATATGATTAATGGGACAAGTGGATATCTTACGACCCGAACTCTTATCAAATCCCTGGATGAAGTAAGTGGAACATTGGTTCTTCTGGACTTGTTGCTACTCCGTGATTTTCATATAAAAGTCCACAATTCATGTATTCTTGAAATAATATTAATAACAATACCTGCATTTGATATAGTATTGATAAAGTCCAAACATCTCAAAGTCAGGATACTCTGGAGAACCATACTGCTGATAAATTGGATTTAAGTTGGAAGTTAATGGCAATTGTGTTCTATACGTTTAGCAATCGTGATGTAGTTTAAAAGACAAGAGGGCTCGGATGAACATGGTATTCTTTTTTTCAGAGATATATTGATGAGGCAACTAGGACATACACTTGGTCCACAGTGAAAAGTGCTGATTACAGGTAAAATATTTTGACTTATTAGTAATACTCCTGTTTGTCCCTCGTCCCCTCCGCTTCATTGGTGGCCGTGCCTTCAGCCACTACGCCCCGGAACTCTCTCTCTTAATCTCTCCTCCTCCCCCTTCCCTCCTCACTTGCCAATCCCACCTAAAGACCTTGCTTTTTGATGGTGCTTACGGTCACCTCCCTCTCCCTCTCCCCCCTGGCTCGGGGTCGGACTCCGCCGCTGTCGAGCGTCCCGGGATGCAACCCCGGGTGAAGGGCGCTGTGTAAACACAAGTTGTTGCACTGGCCGCACACAATCAACCGTGTGTATTTCATTTCTTCCCAGTCTGGCTCTCGTGTTACCATCCTACAGCTCCTATTACATCAGCGCCAAGCTTACCGACCAGATCCTGCAAGCTCAGTGTAAGTACCTGCTGTCCGGTAAACTTGTCTTCTGATCATGTCCTTTAACCTGCAGATACACCAACGTTCACTGCTCTGTCGAACCTTTACTGCACTAACAGAAAGCAAGCGTGTTTCCCAATCAGAATCCAGCTCGACCAATTTACACAGTAGTCTGTCTCTTTGACGTTGGTTAAAAACTATGCTCTAAAACAACAACAACAACAACAATCAAAAAACAAAATACGAACCAGATGGTAACAAGGCAAAAGCAGAGTTCTCCCTATCTTGCTTTCTCCTCATAATATACAATGATTCTGAAGCAGCAAAACTAGCAAAAGACTGTGAAAACCTGCATGATTTTCACTATATTCTAGTTGGATTTCTGTTCAATTACTTTATCTTCGTTGTTTCCTTAGTTTTCTTTTCTTTTTCTTTGGACTTGTTCGGACATGCCTTGTTTTGTTTGCTGGGGCTTTAGAATCATTTGCCCTTGGCTACCGCACGCTAGCCTTGCGTGCAACAAAGCACCCGGTCAGAACCATCTTGGTCTGGGTGTTTGCAACTGTTTGTTTGCTCTCTGGGTATCTTTTTATTTTTATTATTATTTCGTCAGTTGCAAGATTCTCAGTATATTTATACACAATATTTTTATTCAAATAGTAATTGAATAAAATATTGTTTGTGACCCCCTTCCCACCCAACCCCTTTTTTTCTGCTTTCTCTCTCTATGATGGATTCACACAGTCCAAACCAACAACAAGGGCAAGTATCTGAATATTGGTCCCCTCCCCCACCACCTTTGTTCAGTGCCTCCCCCCCCACCGTATCCCAGCCTGCTTGCCCATTTACCTGAACGTCTGATCCCTTCTCAGATACCCTAACCCAACCCTATTAATGCGATGTCTTGTTATGTCCACAATGGCTTAGAAGTTTCCCCTGCATTGCTCTGAATATCTCACTCTCGATATCTGCTTCCTTTGTATTCTACTCTACTGTTCTGCTCTCTTTCTCTCCCTCTCTCTCTCTCTCTTTATCCTCCGCCTTTCCCCTTTTCCCCCAACCCCCCACCTCTCACTAACTGACCCCAATGATGCTGAAGAGATACAAGTGCTGTTTGGATTCCTTCCCATCCACTTCCTCCGCATTAGCCTGTAATTGGATCCTTGCGTTCCACCCTTTCAATACAAAGTTTGATTGTCTACATATATAATATACACAGTTTGGCCATGTTGGTGCCTCATCATTACCAATCAATAAGAGTATCCGAAGTAACGAACTGCAATTAGCCATTTGAATTGTGGTGAAAAATGTTGAAAAATGTCGAAAAAATTGCAATTGATATATTCATTCGTTGATCTATATTTTTTTTTAAAAAAACGGTTCTTAATGAAATCATTTTTATTGGCTTGTATTTTTGGATTGAGTAACTATATGAAAGTATCATTTTTTTTTCTCCTTCTCTCTTGGCAACATATTGGCTATAACTATCCTGAGGTGTGCTTCAATCCTGCAGATAACATATCTTGATCTTCTCATTTAAAGAATTGTGTAGTTCGCTCCTTGTGCTGATGGTATGTGTCTGAAATGCCACAGGTTTAAGGCTGCACCCCTCGCCAGTAGTTCCCAGATAATGTTCCTTTTTATTGCAGATTTTGAATCCCTGTTACCCAGCTCCTTTGAGACCGTGGGACATGTATTCATTGCTCCCAGGTAGCTGTGTGTGTGTGCACCTGCTCATTAACCATGACGAACACCCATCGTGCTGTGCATTCTCACCCCCTCCCCTCCCTCACCTCCATGACTGAACCTGACCATACTGTTCACCAGTCAGCCCCCTGTGATGTGAACTTGTGCAGTGTTGTATCTGTCCACCTGTTGAATGGAGCTGTGGCCTCGCCTCTTTCCCCCTTGATGAAGCCACCCAGTGTATGCACGGGCTTGCAGGCTGCATTGGTGCTTGTTTTTATTCCTGCATGACAAATGGCCGAGCTCCTGCAGCCTTGTGTGTCCATAAGGATTAGGAAATGTACCCCAGCATGTTCCTCGTACATGTTACTGTCCCATCCTTGTTCGGGAGCGATACCCAGGGTCTTGGGCACAAGAACTGTTGCTGTCTCTATCACGCCGATTGTCCACTTAACTCTCACGGAATGTGTTTACACTTGGATTCTCTCCTAGGGAATACTGCAAGGATCTCGTCAAGTCAGAAAACAACACAGAGTTATTGCTCAATTTTATCAATCTGATGGATAAGTACACCCCTGACTCCAAGAACTGTGAGTACAGCAATATATATGCAGAGTGAACCACTTCAGGAACGCTCATCAGTTAGTAAAAAGGTTCACATAAGAATGTGCTGTGAAGAAAGGAAGAAGACCAAGGTCCACCTAGTTCGCCTTCCACCATCTTGACAGTCGCTTGACATGTCGTGTCCCCAAACTACACACTGTATCCCCCAGATATTGTTTTCTAGCAGAAATCTACCTTAATTTGTTCTTGAAACAAATGAGATTTCAGGCAGCATCTATGGAGAGAGGAAAGTAGGTCGATGAACCTTTCGTCAGAACCTCGTCACACAGAAGGCAGAAAATGAATTGAATAGCCTGATCGTATAATAATAATAATCCTTGCCTTTGATATAGCGCCTTGTCATGTCTTCGAGACGTCTCAAAGCGCTTCACAGAATATACTGTAAAGTGAATTGACTGTTTTGTGGGCGAAACGCGGCAGCCAATTGCGCACAGCAGCGTCCCCACAAACAGTCGAGGATTGAATTGAGTCCCAACTCACACCAATTTTTACCCCTTGTATTTCCATGGTCCAATGGACGTTTACCTCTGCCTGTGGTAGCTCCCAGCCTTGTCCAACTTGCAGTAAAGTTAGGGCTCACGTGTTTCTGAACAGCATTGGTGCCTCTGTGTATTTTTCAGGTGAATCTGACCTGATCTACAACCTGATACTGGATTCCGGGATCACAGCCAAACTAGTAGATAAAGTCTGGAAGAATTATGACTTGCACACGTAAGTCGTTTAGCAACCCACATGTGGATATGTCCTTTGTCTGGAATTGTGTGTTTGCTCTCTCCCCAGAGGGATTTACTCTATTTATTTAATTCCACAAAATAATAATCCAGGTTGGGAAAGAGCCAAGCCTTGGGGACCCCAGATACTGCTGTGATCCATCCTGCTCAAACCTCGTAGATTGCCTTGTGAATAATGTTGGTAAACTTCCGGCTGCTAGCCAACTTAGGACTCAAATCACGGTTCACAAGTTTGATGAAAAGGTAGACAAGGTAGACAACAATAATTGACAATAATTACCACAGCGTATTTCACGTCCCAAGGCGCTGGACAGTCAGGGATTTGGACCTGAGCTAGGGGTTGGGTTCAGGAGGGAGGGAGGGCAGGTAGGGTAGGGGTAGGAGGGTGGCTGAAGGCGCGGTCGAAGAGGAAGGTCTTAATAATAATAATAATAATCCTTGCATTTGATGTAGTGCCTTATCACGTCTTGGAGACTTGATCGTGTCTTGAGACGTGTCTTGAAGGAGGCGAGGGAGGGAGCGAGGCGAAGGGAATGTGGGATGGAGTTCCAAAGGGTGGGGGCAGAGAGGCTGAGGGCCCGACTGTTGATGGTGGCAAAAAGAGATAAATTTGGTTAAAAGAAATTTCAAAGTGTATCACAGACAGATACGGAAAGAAATAATGAAATGACAGCATTGAGATCGAAAAGTGTGAACAGAAAGAAAGATGAATGAGATTCTCGAATAGTAACTTTTTGCCTCTCTGTCTTACAATTGTCTGTCTCTGATTCTCCAAGTTTCGGTCTGTTAGTGTCCCTTTCTTTCTGCCTGTGAGCGTGTCTCGTTCTGTATCCCTCTATCTCTCTGTACTCCACTTATCTCTTTTCTCTTTCATGCTCTTTCTGACTTGGAGCGTTTTTCACTCTCTTTTTCTTTCTATTAATGCTTGTTTCTCTCTTTCTCTCTCATTCTGTATCTCTCTCTCTCTCTCTCTCTCTCGATCTCTCTTTCCATCTCTCTCTCAGGCTGGGCTTACTCGCCGTTTTTGTGGCCACAGATGGAGGAATCACAAGAGTTTTCCCAGCAAAGTGAGTATCCGATATTTCTCAGCAGAAGTGGACGAAAAGGGTGGTGGAAGCCGATTCGATGGCAACTTTTAAGAGAGAGGTGGTGGTTATTTGGGGAGGACGGGTTTGTAGGGTAATGGGGAGACAACATGATTGAATTGGGAAGCTCTTTTCAAAGAACTGGCACGGACACGATGGGCCGAATGGCCTCCTTCTCTGCTGTATAATTCTATGATTCTACGATAAAGCTTTGGCGACAATCTGAAATGCTCACACGTGTGTCTAGAGAGTCGAAGCTGGTGTTAAGGAGCGGCGAGTGGAGTTACGGAAGCAAAGAAAAAGTCCTAGAAACAGTGGCTAAGACGAAATAGATTCATGAACAGAATGATCCCGTGGGTGGTTGTCACTGTGCAGTTACCACTTGGATCCCATTTGGTAATTTTAGGAGAATCGCTGCCGTCTGCATTTTCTATATTGAATTAAACCCATGCCTGAAGGTAGTGTTGGAGGGTGGGGCAGAGCCTGTCTCTACTGAGTCAGCATTGCTGTTTGTCTGCATTAAATTCTCTTGCACCGTCAGTCAAGATTGAAGTAGGTCTAGATATCACCGATGCGGTACTGGCTCTGGCCTACCTGCTTGTTTTTCGTGCCCTCTATTTCACCATCGGTGGCCGCACTTTCAGTCACTACGCCCCGAAATACTTGAACACATGAAACTTGCCCAATGTTTCGTTCTTTCCTACCCGAGAATCAAACCCAGGTCCTCTCGCTTGCGAGGCGAGCGCTCTAACCACTGAGCTACAGGACTCCATCTCTGATCACTGTGTTTACAGGGCAGCAGAAGAATGGAGTGAAAGTCCAGAGCCCTTCAATGCAAGCTACTACAGAAGAAGTCTAGACAACAATGGATTCCTCTTCAGTGCACCGTACAGAGAACGTATGTTGTTCTGCATAGACCAAAGGCTTATGTTTATGTTTGAGGGGTGGTGAGGAGACCTTTGTAGGCTTGGTCTTCTGTCAATGCTTCCTTTATTTAATGAAGTCGCCATTGGTGTGAAGTTCTCATTCAATCTTCCAATTGATCCTCAGCTAATAATGTGGATCTGATGGATCTGATGAATAACAGCATTGGGATCCTGGTGAGCGCTGCTGTTAACCTCAGCATCTACGGAAAGTCTCTGAAACCTGCAGGTAGGCAACTCTAACACAGACGTCAATTAATTAGCTTGTAAGCCCCACTTGATCCCTCCCTTGATTGCACAAGCTTATTTTCCACGGATATTTTGAATCCGTTTGCAGTCTCGTTGCTGGAGGAATCTATCCATTGCCTCATTTGTTCCCCCGTCTTGTGGGTTTCTTCCAGTGGTTGGAGTGAAGCTGGATTTCGAAGCGTGGGTCTCCAAGTTTAAAATCTTAGCGAGTAATCAAACCGACCCCGATCAGATTGAACCACGAAAGGTAATACAACAAGTTGCACTTATATAGCGCCCCTCTTGTAGGTTAGCGTCCCACAGAGCGCTGGACAGTGGCGGAGAATGAGGCCGAGCTGGGGGTGGGGGAGGTGGCCGTAAGCACTGACGAAGAGGAAGGTCTTCAGGTGTGATCCGAAGATGGGGAAAGAAGGGGCAAGGCGGAGGGATAGAGGCAGAGTGTTCCAGGGTTTAGGAGACTTGATGTAAAGCACAAACAGCGACGTGGGGGTGGGGATAGAAACCATCACAGCCGTATATTACTGTCAACGCACAGCACACACTGCCCTTGTCATTAGCTACGGTCATTGATTTGGAGAGTCCTTTTTTGTTAGCTGGTGCGCATGTCATTACACAATGAATGTATCTTGTCTGCAGTGTAGTACCATTCAGGTGCTTCATCAAAGGAATTCTGATCCGAACGGTCGCTGGATTAGCGACTGTTTAAAATGAGCGAGCAGTCAAGTTAGCCAGCCCGCCGAAAACCACTGCCAGCCTCACACGTGAAATACTAATGGCTGTTCGGGTGGTGTTGCAAAAGGCCAACCAGTGTCTGTAGATCTGCAACTCGCAAGTGATTCACAGACCTGCCAGGAGCAGAGAGGTCGATGTCACCGGAGAGAGCATTAGAAAAATAACTGGACTCGCTAAACAAATTAAATAAAGGAATATTTTAATCCTGTGATGGTGACCACATCTCTTGCGAAAGAAATGCTTGCACTGCACCGACTGACACCATTTTCCCTTTGTTCTGCCCAGTGTGTACCGTCTTCAGACTGCGAGATGGATTGTGATGTGAACAGCGAGGTGAGCGTGAATAGCATCGACTTGCTGGGACTGTGTAGCGACTTCATATCATTCCTCCCTCAAATTGGGATCCTTGTTAAGAATGGGGCAGCCTGTGAAAGGCTTTTAATAATCCTTGCATTCGATATAGCGCTTTATCATGTGCTCGAGACATCTCAAAGCACTTCACAGAACTCACTGTAAAGTGACTTGACTATATTTTGGCAGGCAATTGCGCACAGCAGTGTCCCCCAAACAGTCGTGAGTTAATTTGAGTGACCAAATTATTATTTATTTTTATTTTTGAAGGGATTATTACCCCCGGAAAAGCGATCCGTCAATCGACGAACAACCGGGTTCCTTCTCTTTGACCGTGCCTTCAGCTCCCCTCTCGACTCTCTACCCCCTCCTCGCTCCCTCCCTTCCCTCCCCCTGACCATTTCCCCCCTCCTCGTACCCTCCCTTCCCTCCCCTCACCCTGACCATTTCCCCCCTCCTCGCTCCCTCCCTTCCCTCCCCTCACCCTGACCATTTCCCCCCTCCTCGTTCCCTCCCTTCCCTCCCCTCATCCTGACCATTTCCCCCCTCCTCACTCCCTCCCTTCCCTCCCCTCATCCTGACCATTTCCCCCCTTCCTCACTCCCTCCCTTCCCTCCCCTCACCCTGACCATTTCCCCCCTCCTCGCTCCCTCCCTCCCCTCCCCTCACCCTGACCATTTCCCCCCTCCTCACTCCCTCCCTTCCCTCCCCTCCCCTGACCATTTCCCCCCTCCTCACTCCCTCCCTTCCCTCCCCTCACCCTGACCATTTCCCCCCAATGCTCGGGTCCTGACCCAACTGTCCAGCGCCTTGGGACGTCCTCCCGACGTGAAAGGCGCTCTATAAATGGAATCTTGTTGTTGTTGTTGTTACTGTTAGGTAAACAGAGGTGTGTGTGGGAAACTTGCATAGCTAGAATTTGGGAGTTTCTGCCAGTGTCCAAGTCAACAATCATCCCCGGTTAATTAATTGTTCGTTCTGCCACCTTTTCCTACAAAACCAGATGGTGCACTCTGAGATACTGTAATTACCTCTGAGGTGTTTGGCATAATGAGAAGAAAATAAAGTCCTCTCTCTCTCTCTGTCACTCTCTCTCTCTCTTGTTTATATATCAGGAATTGCTTTGCGTGCTAATTGATGATGGAGGCTTCCTGATCATGTCCAACCAGCCCGAACACTGGAGCCAGGTAACCCTGCAGTGAGAGGCGACAGGCCAAGATACACTTCAGTCATTCGGAATCAGAAATCTGCAGGTGACACCAAGGTTGAGGGGGACTGTGGAATCCGGAGGAGGCAGCAAAGGTCTTATAGAGGCAGCTGTTAGAGATTGCACGTGGACTGATAAGCAATCAAATGAATTTCAATACACCCTGTCCATCAGGGAAGGCTTTGGCTTGCGGGTTTAACAGGAGCTGAGTGGGAACAATATAAAAACAGCAGTAGGCCATTCAGCCCCTCAAACCTGTTCTGCCATTGTATAAGATTATGGCTGATCTGTAGCTCAACTCCAATATCTTCTCCCAGTGACTGATTTGCCCTTCCAAGGCCCAGCGAGGAGCCAGGTTGGTCTGGTCTGCTCAGTCAGCAGCAGGGCTCTGGAGTCCTGTGGACCTGCCTGGTTCAGGGATCGAGTGGGTGAATGAACAATTGTGGGCAGGAATCTTACTGAGTGCGACGGTTTGCTAATTGCAGGATGTTTTCTGCTGTTTCTCCAGATCGGTATGTTTTTCAGCGAGGTCGATGCGAGTTTGATGAACACCCTCTACAACGGATCGTTCTACACGAGGAAGGAATCATTTGATTATCAGTCTGTCTGTGGTCCTCCCCCTAACAGTGACACAGGGGCAGCACCCAGATCCGTCTTTGTCGTAAGTTCACATCAATTCAACTCGACTCGGGACTTTCCAGCACAGCAGGATACAGTGAAATGTTCCCCTTCAAATAATTCTGGCCTGATGTCCACTTCAAACTGCACACACAAAAAAACCCACTTAGCCAATGTGTTTGGGAGTTTCATAAATATTTCCATCACCGCGCAATCTTTTGAACAGATGGCGACAGCGAGGGTGTGATCACAACAATAACAACAACTTGCATTTATATAGCGCCCTTCACACCGAACACTGACGACTGGGACAGGGTGGATGGTATTGTGACAAGATCCTGCTAAACAGCTGGCACGACTTTCATACTCCGCGTGTTTGTGGAATGAAGCCATCAAATGCAAGGATGATTATTATTTCTGATTCTCGGAATACAGTTTTGTTCCCTTGAAGGCGTATGTGATTCTACCTGCTCCTAACCTGTCAGACGCTGTCAGTACCTCAACTCAATTAGCTTTTATTCCTGGATGAGTCTCGGCACCGAATGTCAGCGGGAGATTTTACTCCACGTGGGATCGCAGTCAAATCCAATCCTGTCTTCACCTGATCACTGCACACACACGCACTCACTCACTCATTCACTCTCTCACTCACTCAAATGCTCACTCTCACACACTCACTCTCACTCACACACACAGTCTCACACACCACACACACACACTCACTCCCACGCGCACAACAACAACAAATTACATTTGTATAGCTCCTTTCAGTCGGGAGGACGTCCCAAGGCGCTGGACAGTCAGGGAATTGTCTGACTGTGTTGGACTCCGGTGTGGAAATGAACTCCGGGCTGTACAAGTTGGTCATTATTTCCTTGAGTTTAAAAGGTTAGGGCTGAACTAATTGAGACACACACTCACTCACTCACACACACACTCACACACACACTCACTCACACACTTCTGGCAAGGATTGCTGGACTGTGATCAGAAGGCGAGAACAGAAGGTGGTGGCCAATTGTCACTTTGTTTGCTCGCGCTGGTGTAGAGAAGTGCAGGAATGATTAAGTCGTTGCTGTTTTCGGTCTGAAAGTGAGAGAACGCTGATCACTCATACTGTTGACATTTATTTATACTGTGGTTTCTCAGCCTACAGTTGCAGATCTGTTGAACCTGGCTTGGTGGAGCTCAGCTGCTGCTTGGTAAGATTATTTCTTTATCAAAGATTATTCAAACAATGTAAAGCTAATGCAGTCTGTACCTATTATACATTGCGTTATTGTATATTACAATTGAAGGTACCGTAGCTTGTACAGTCTAGTAAACCACTGCTTTTTCTGACATCTCCGATTGCACCTTTGGTGATTATCAGAAATGGGTTAAGGAGAGCCTGTAACCGTGTGCGTTGTGATATCATTAGTCGGGAGCATTCGAGACGGGAGATGAGAGCTCGTACGGACATTTTGGTTGTGATGGACGAGGTACCCACGTAAATCTGCTGCCATTTGATCAATTGATGAAAAGGCCATTCCCACAACATCTGTTGAATACAATCCTCAGCTTTGGGATATGATATTAAGCTCTGGGATGCAGTGAACAAGCTCTGTTCACTGAACACGGCTTAACTTAACAGCTGAGATGGTTCATCTGCCTTGAGTAAATGTATTAGACCGCAAGAGAAAATAAATTGAATTAAAATATATTTCACCGATCAGATATTCACCTTATTATGGCTGTGCTTAATTTCCCTCAGGTCATTATTACAGCAGTTTTTCTACGGCTTTACCATCCAAACGTGGTTCGAAGCAGGTATGATTTTCTGATAAATGATGTCTTAGAGGTTGGGGGAGAGGATTAACAGAAACCCTTGCCTTTATCTCTCTCGACACGTATATGGATTAAGTCACAAAACCCTGAATATGGGGTGAAAAGGTTCTCTCAATAAGTAAAGTTACTATCCATCCGGAATCGAGTTGTAGAATGTCAAACTATCTCAGCACAAGCTTATACCTTCAGAAGAGGGAAGAGAAATTGCTGACAACAAATGTTGGTACAAAGTTGAGGGAGTTTTACTCTGCATCAAACCCTATGGGTGGCCAAAATAATAATAATAATCCTTGCTTTTGATACAGCGCCTTATCATGTCTTCAAAACGTCTCAAAGCGCTTCACAGGATACACTGTAAAGTGAATTCACTGTAAACAGGGGTGGGGGAGCAGGGTGGTCGAAAGCACGGTCAAAGAGGAGGGTCTTGAGATGGCTCTTGAAGGAGGCGAGGGAGGGGGCGAGGTGGAGGGACTGCGGGATGGAGTTCCAGAGGATGGGAGCAGAGTAGCTGAAGGCCCGCCCGCCAATGGTAACAAATATCTTACCTGAATTGCTTTGTGTCTTGTTGATTCCCCCTGTTTGTTTTTTTGCTAGATGATGCTGTAGCAGACGGCGTGGAAGCTAAAGAGACGAGTTGCGTCACAAAGCAGACACAGTACTACTTCAGCAACAACAGCAGATCCTACAGCAACATAATCGACTGTGGCAATTGCTCCAGGTTGGTCATCAGGATACGGGAACACGCCAACACCCAATATACCCAACCTCAAAGGATCGTAGCCTAAAGCGAAGATAAACTAAAATATCACACATAAAATAATGATGTGCGTTGTGGATTCAGGCTTTGCTGATCATCTGGAGCACAAAAAACTTCAGGTTCTCCATTAGCAAACCAAGTGAACCTGTCTCCAAAGAGCTCACCCTGATAGACAGACTGTAGACATTTCACTCCAATTATCAATTAATGTCAGTCCTGACTTTGTAGCACAATATGTCTTAACAACCGTCACGCAGCAAACGTCCAATTCTCACTGTCTTCAGGTTTGACATGATGAAGTTAGCTTCACAATTAATAATTGGGCAGCAAATGTCCCGCAAACGGAGAAAGACTCTTTTAAGTTTTAATAAAAGCAGAAGTTGGTGGGAACACTCAACGGGTCAGGCAGAAGGGAAAGTGAGTTACCGGTTCAGGTCAGTGACCTTTCAGCAGAAATTCAGTCTTAAGCATTGGTGGAAATCGGAACACATTAACCATTTATAACTCTAAAACGCACAGATTTTTGATTTTAAATAAGAAAATGTTACTTTTTAATTCCTGCCTCATCAAGATAGGGTTTCAGATATATTCACCAGTAATAATTGTATTTTTAAAACACATATATATATATATATATAATTTGAGCTTTCAGGCTCAAAGCTTTACAATTCGAACTGCGAATAATGTTGTAGATATTTCCCTTTTGGCTGTATTTACCGCACTGCTCTGTCTATATGATTGCTGTACCATTCCCAAAATAAAGCTTTTCCTCCCTCTGGAACTCCATCCCACAGTCCCTCCGCCTTGCCCCCTCCCTCGCCTCCTTCAAGACCCGTCTCAAGACCCTCCTCTTCGACCGTACCTTCTGTCACACTCCTCACCCACCCTCCCCGATCCCAACCCCCAGCTCGGGTCCGAAACATTGATTGTCCAGCGCCTTGGGACGTCCTCCCGACGAGAAAGGTGCCATACAAATGTCATTTTGTTCTCTTTGTTCCTCCTGTCACAGGTTTTACCACGCACAGAGGCTCGCCAACACCAACCTGATCTTTGTGGTGGCGGAAAAGTTGATGTGTAACCAATGTGACCAAAGCAAGCTCAACCAAGCTGAAGTCCGATGTATCCTTTGCTTACATAATAATTAGTAGTAATCCTTGCATTCGATACAGCGCCTTATCACGTCTTCGAGACGTCTCAAAACGCTTCACAGAATAGACTATAAAGTGTAGTGACTGTATATTTTATGGGCTAATCGTGGCACACAATAGCACACAGCAGTGTCCCACAAACAGTTATATATATATAAACAGCTTACATAATAATAATTCCAGGCAGAGGGCGAAACCTTGGGCAAGTTTCCTTACTCCACACAGAGCCTAATAATAATCCCTCCAAAACCAAAAACAATAATAAATTGGTAATTTTCAATCTACGACTGTTTGTGGGACATTGCTGTGCGCCATTGGCTGCCGCGTTCGCCCACAAATATACAGTCAATTCACTTTACAGTGTGTTCTGTGAAGCGCTTTGGGACGTCCTCCCGACGTGAAAAGCACTATATCAAATGCAAGGAGTATTATTATTATTGGATAAATGGACGGAGCTTTGAGGATAGTAGGAAAAGGCATAAAATGATGTACATAAAGTTTGCTCCAATGGGTGGAATAGATTTGTTTGGTGGACAGTCATTCGATGATATTCTCATTATGTGATAATTGCTATTGATTCTGAAATTGACGTGATTTACATTTCAAATATCGTTTTATTGATCAGCTCATCTGTACATCCCTAAAGATGGCAATTGCAGTATGGTTTGCACTTGTACTCTGGGGTATGGTGTTTGTGAAGGGTATAGTTCTATCTCATTTGTTCTCGTTACTTGCTGATAGTTTAAAGAATAACCATGGGAACAGAAATGAAGCCGAATTAAATGAGCTGGAATATTTCCGGGCTTTGCCGATATCGTTCACTGAAAATAAACACACTGCAAGATCGAAAGAATGAACGGACCTCAATCCAGATTACAGCAACTAAACACAATAAACTGTGACTAGTTATCGGCCACCCCGTTCTCCTCTCTAGAGCTGGCTTTTTATTTGAGATAACGTGGGAATGGAATGAGTAGAAACTGTCTGTGTATGTAGCCTGCACTCTTCCTCTATCCCTCTGCCTTGCCCCCATCTTGCGTCCGTGCCTGCGGTCACCTCCCCCCCGCCCCCTCCCCCCCGGCTCAGCGTAGTGTCCTGCTACTGGCAAATGCTCTGGGACACTGGCCTACATGAGGGGCGCTGTGTAAACGCAAGCTGTTGGTACTACATTTCCTTAACGTGTTCTTCTGCAGCTGATGGACCCGAACAGTGCGACCAGGTGCTGAATCCTCGGTATCGAAAAGGGCCCGATGTCTGTTTTGATTATAATCTAGCAGTAAGTACCGGGATGAACTTCCATGCATAAGGTAACCAGAAGCCTGGCTGTATGAATGGAGAACGCAACCGTTTAGTCCATGGTCATTTTCCTCACCTCTTAAGGATAGGCGTCCAGCAAGTCATTGTATGTTTTTTTTTCATCCAAGTTCTGACTAGTTGCCTCTGTGACAGATGGGAGGTCCCCCGAGTAATTAAATGTAGAGGAGGGTACGGGATTTTTCTGTAAGCGACTGGATAGTTTGTCAATAGAATGATGGATAGGTGATTGAATGAGCAGGTGCCTGGAGGTATGTGAGTCGCTGCTTGTGTTGCTGGATGGCTGGGGATATTTGATAGATGACTGTAAACCGAAGACGTGCCTGAGGCTGCAGATCGTTGAGTGTTGATGTCTGGGTGTTGCTGAATACCTGAGGGTGCTGGGTGTAGACCTGCCGTCCCTGAGTGGTGAATTGTTATGAGTGAGTGTTCAGCATTGTCTTGCATGGAATATAGACAAGAGAGAAATGGCCCACATGCTGGAATGTGCACTGTTACATTCCACCATCAACACTCATTCAAACCCTGCATCCAGGCACTCACTAGCTCTGCTTTCCCTCACCACATCGACCACACCTGCCATTACCTCTTCCCACAAGGCTGCTGAGTATCTTATCCACGCCTTCATCAACTCCGCTTCAACCCTTCTTTCCCCCCATCCTTCCTTTGTCTTCAGATCGCGCCTGAAGACCTTCCTCACCGACCGTGCCTACGGTCACCTACCCCTTCTCTCCCCCACTCCCCAGCTCAGTGCTGTGCTCCACCACTGTCAAGCACTCTGGGACGCTGCCCTGTGGGGTGGGGGGTGGGGGTGCTGTGTAAATGCAAGTTGTTGTTGTTATAAAGTGTGCCTTGTCGTTGTTGCAGGAGGATTCCTCAGACTGCGGTAGAGGAGCCATGTTGAAGCCCTCCCTCTGTATCTTACTAGCTCTTCAGATGCTGCTCCTCTCTTGGACTGCCTATCTCAACCTCTCTCCCTGGGCCTGCAGCCTTTGATTTAGGACCTTCTTGTAACTAGATATCAGTTGTGTGATTCTCATAGATGAGGACTTCCCTGCCCTGGAAGCCTGAATTCTCCTTCATTCCAGTCTCACATATCCGTGTTGTTTGTGTGGTGGAGCTGCAAACTGTGTGTGTGGAGCTGGTTTTATTGTGCTCGTTTGAACAACCAGTATTTTCCTGGCAAGATAAGTCATGGGGAGAGAGAGCAGGATTTTGTGACGATTCTGCTTCTTTTGGGACGAAACCTTGACTTGAATAATATCTTGAGAAGATGAGGAAGGCAAGAGGAGCCATTTTTTCATCCTGGAATAGGTCTCGCTGTTTACCAGACATTCTCTTTGCGTTCAGTAGAAGACATTGGCAGTTTCATGGGGGTATGTTCTGCTTTTTTATCTGCCTCGGGGGTGGGTTGGGATTGGTGGGGTGGGAGGGAGGGAGGGGGCAGGTTGTGTTTATTAATGCACTATTTAGTTTTTGCCAAATGAGATGGCTTTTGGTTCATGTATTTTCGATCAACAGCCCACCTTACACGGCACGTTTGAGTGGCTAACGCTACAACACGATGACGACGGCAGTCGGCAACGCATGTTACTTCATCGCCAACGTTCACCTCACCAAAACGCCTTTGCTTTCTCATACCACCGCTTCTGTGTTTTTTCAGGGAGACCGATCTCTGTCTTGTGGTCAAACATGTACCTCACACAAAATCTTTTCTTTAGCTCGTTTTAATGTTGCCACATCTGAGCACACAGAGATAAGAGACTACTGTCAGGACAGATTCACGGTCCAAGAGATTCGGGCTATCCAGCTCTCCTTTGTATTTCGCTCCCCAAAAAATGAATGTAGTTGTGGAACAACATGTGTGATGAGATGTGTGTCAATCAACGTCACAGGTGTTTAGACTAATGGTATCACTCAGAATGGTTGCTTCTGTGCACTTACAAGTAACTTCCATGGAGTAACTAAGAGATAGATACCTCGACAGACATATAGAGGGCTTTTGTCCAAGCCTTTCCTGTGTCCTACTGATAGGTTCATGCAGGTACCTGTAGGTAGGTGAACATAGCTTACCTGCAGAGCAAGTTACCTATAGGTAGATCTGTGTTTGCAACATGTGGGTCAATAATGAGACTGTGTGTCGTATGAGATGAGTAAGAGTGTTATCAGTGGAACATTCACCTACAGAGTACACAGTCACTCCACTTGAAGGTAACTCCTGTGAAGCACTTTGAGAGACTTTGACGACATAAAGCGCTGTATCAAATGCAAAGTTTATTATTGTTATTAGAACATGCTTTGCCGCATGAGGGGATTGGTTCTGTGTGTCAATGACAGATGGTGTGTCAATGTGTGTGTGTGTGTGTGTTACATTATCTATAGGTGAGTGAGTGTTACCTGCAGACAGATTCATCATGTGTAGATCTGTTTTTTAAAGGGAGACGGACACATTGAAAGGATAATGTCCAAGTAATTGTTGAACGAAATTCAATATAAATATATATAATATATATATATATAGCAGGGGAACAGATCGCATTTTAGAAATGTTAAATGCTACGACATGATATTGTTAGTCTGTTAGACGTAACTATAAGCTGCCTATTCGGAGTAAAATCCCAATAGCTGTCAGATATATAAGCGTCCCTAAATAAAACTCAATCCACTTTGGGGATTACCAAAATCTCTATTGTGACCTGAGCACATTTAATCTTTATATGTTACTTATACGCAGTAATTCACTCATAAAATAAAACTTTATATCCGAAAACTATTTAAGCTCTGTATTGTGTGTTTTCTCTCTCGCACTGCTGCCCAGGTAATTCGTTAGAAAGAGCCTTTCATTCAGTTTCATTGCAGTTATAAATACAAATTGCTCTCCTTGCTGACTATTAACAGGGACCACACATTACTGGATCTTCATTAGCAATTCCCGCACTCCATTAACCTTTATTAACAACCGCTCACAACTCCTCAATCTCCACAAATAACATGTGTTTTACTAATATTCCGTAGCAAACATCTGTACCCCCTTAATCCCTGTGAGGTGGCACTCACCGACACCTTATTAATACTCATTACCAAACCCCTGCAAAATATGTAGTCAATTCACTTTACGGTATATTCCGTGAAGCGCTTTGAGATGTCTTGAAGGCGTGATAAGGCGCTGTATCCATCGCAAAGATTATTATGTTTATTATTCTAAATTGCTAGCCCTCATTATTACCCAGCACGTGACATTACCGTTTCCACATGTCCTTGACCTTCCAAACATTGGGACTTACAGATACCATCTTTACTGCAATGACCATTTGGGCTTCCCATGTTGGTGTATGTAGTTTTTCTATCTGGTGCTTCCACTGTCCTCTCTCATATAAATAATCTCCTGTATTATTACACTCACTACATATTGAACTCTGTTACTGTTGCTGGGCTCCATAACACATTATGACGCTCGACTGTGTGTTCCATGTTGGCCTTTTGACACCATTTCTACACCTCAATGCGTTGAGCTTGTTTCCCCAATTTAAACCCACATTAAAGGTTACAGTGAAACCCAGAACAGAACCGCACTGGAAAACAAAACAAACTAACAAAGGTAAGGAACACGGAAAAATAAGGAAGCAGATTAAAGAAAGAAATGTAGAAAATAAAGTAAACCTATGAAGAGGAAAAACAAAACCAATTCAAAGAAAATTCACGAATATTTACGAAAATTTCGTCTGCCAGAAATGAAAATATTATTTCTGAAACCATTCAAATTAATTTAATTCAAGGATACTCAGAGATACCGTGACAATTCATTACCTAGTTACAACCAGATTGAATTGGGTTTGACGTTCTCTGTGGGATAATGTGTTGCAATGGGATCTGGTGGTTCTAAAGTCTGTTGTGCTCACAGATTTCATTCACTTTCCCACAAGGGTTGCATTTTCTTCCCCAAGACATAATCGTAACGTCCTTCAATGACTCTTTGGCGACATCGCATTTATAAAGTATCTACATTTTTTGCTGATTTGTAAATGAATGCACTTTGTGCCCCTGGTTTCTGAGCTGCTGTCAATAACGTGTTGTAAATATCCTGTTGATCGTTTGACAAACATGATGCTTTTTCAGCTGTGCATGCCTAACGCCAAAACAGTAGAATCCTTATACTCATTTGTGTTCCTGGGGTTTGCTTGTCCTTAAGCTCCAGGTCCATATCTCACTGTTGCATCTGATACATCCCTGTAATTTAGCAACTACTTATATGGTTGTGTCCACATTCACATCTCCCGCTCAGAATATTCCAATATCTTGTCAGTTTTCATCCTCCCAACAGTGATCGGTTTGGTGAGCTCCAAGGAACTGCCCCAGCAACAGCTTTTTCTATAAATTTGCTGCCGCATTTCGCCCAAAAATATACAGTCAATTCACTTTACAGTATATCCTGTGAAGCACTTAGAGACGTCTCGAAGACGTGACAAGGCGCTGTATCAAATGCAAGGATTATTATTATTGTTATATCTCTTCACTTTTGGAAAGAAATGTTATTTGGAAATGGGAAATGCTATATTAACCAGAAACAACAGTTTACAGTTTTTAGATGTGGTCAGAGCAATGTTGAAAGGTTTTTAGAAATGAGCTGCAGGTCTCTTGTGTTTTCGGAAGACGAAATATTACATCCAAATGAAATATTAACTCCATTAGTGAGGCTGGTACTTGTTTTCAGCGACCCACATCTCAAAATAAAGCACTTGGGATTGCGTGGTTGTGCCTGACTGTAGTCTCCCTGTATCTGTATCTCTCTCTGTCTACTTGCCCAACTGCATGAGTTCATCAGACTTCATTGGTAGCCCCTTATGAACACGGGATAGTAATCGGTCGATATCTCGGTCAATATTCATGGCATTACCGTTACAAAAAAGAGAGCAGTGCATATTTCATCACTCACCCGGAATAGATGTTATTTCTGAAACTTACAATAAGGACTTGAATTCAGTCCCTAAGCGCTTTGCAAATGGCCAGAGGCTCATCTCTAATGGCTGCCCTTAGTGGTTAATGTTAATCGCTCTCCTTGTCCGCGATGCAGACCTCAAAAACTAGTAAAGTAACACAGTGATTTAAAACAAAGCTTCAGAGGCACATGCGATGGCTCACTATACGGGTTCGTGCCACCGCATTAGCTCCCATAACCTGCCGTAATATGTCAACATTTCTCTCTCTCTCTCTCTCGCTCTCTCCGAGTTGTCTTAGGTCAAAGAAAACATAGCCCAGTAAAACTAGAATCTTCGTAGCAATGATTTATATCTGCTCTGACTCTTGCATCGTGTGGTAAAACTAAACTACCGGAAAGTATTTCATTTCATTGGACTGCGTATATGCTGATGGAATGTCTGTGACGCTGTAGTCTGTGTCAGTGTTCTGTAAAAAAAATTGATTCTCTCTTCTAACGATGTATTGAGGAAAAAACCATCCTCATTTCCATTTGTCTGCAAAGCTTTCCTCCACCTGATTTTGTACAAAGGAAATTTGTAAAATATCGTGTCTGTGACTCCTTGTAAAATATTTTCAAATTGTTTATTACAGAGGATCAGTTAATAAATAATGTTCATATTTTTCACCTCATGTTTGGACTCGGATGTATTTTTTTTAAATGTAAATGTACTTAAATATAAATGAAGTACCCTATCTCAGCACACCCGCACTATTATTTACGTCCACGTTCAGCATAGCAGGATGACGCAGCAAGGCTACCACGCAGATTTTGAGATGATCAGCCATGATCTTATGGAATGGCGGAACAGGCTCGAGGGACTGAATGGCCTCCTCCTGTTCTTGTGTTCCTGTAAGGTTGACTCCCGATACCGATCCAGGAATCAAAACCACTGCTTTTGTGAAATAATGCCCTGTAAATAATGCCCCCCCCCACCCCCCCAACCCCGCCCGCCCGTGTTATTGTGAGGGAAAGGTGTAATAAATTGTAATAAAGCCTTGTAAATTGGGAAGTCGATCACAACAGGGATTGCTGCTAACACAGGGCTGGGGGGGCAGGGGTTCTGTCTTAATAGTACGCTATATGATAATAATAATAATAATAATTGTTATAATAGTAATAATGATAATAATAATAATCATAATAATAAATGATAATAATTCCTCAAGAAAGAAAAACAATTGGTCGCTCCAAACCCCCCCCGGCTGTTTGTGAGGGGGCGCCGCCGGGCACGATCGGCTGCCGCGTTTGGCCCACAAAATACACAGTCACTACACTCGACGGCGTGGCCCCGCAAAGCGCTTTGAGACGTCTCGAAGACGTGATGAGGCGCCGGGTCCAATGCCTGTCCAATAGGGGTGGGGGGGATGGGGGGGGGGGGGATGGGGTGGGGGGGGATGGGGTGGGGGGAGAGACCCTAAACAGGTCCATCATTAGTTAGGATCAGAGTAAGTGGGGGGAGGAGTGTAATAAGTGGTGGGTGGGGCTGTGGTGACGTCATCGCGGGGCCAGCCAGCCAACCAGGGCGTCGCCGTCGTGATGGCGTCATTGCGGGGCAGCCGGCGAACGAGCGAGCGAACGAGCGTGGGCGTGGGGCGGGGCCGGGTGGTCGCCGTCGAGATGACGTCACTGCGGGGCAGCGAGCGGGAAGCGAGAGCCGGGTGTCGCGGCGCTGGTGATGTCATTGCGGGGCAAGCGGGGCGAGAGTGAGGCTGGGTGACAGACAGAGAGGGAGAGAGGGAGGGAGAGAGGGTTCTCGGCGCCGAGTCGGGTGAGAGGGGCCGCGAGTGACAGGAGCTCAAGGCCACGCCACCTCGGGCAGAGGCCCGGACAGCACCGCGGCCTCGGCCTCCACCTCCTCCACCACAGGCCCCATCCCCGGCCTGGCCTGGCCCGGCCCGGCCCGAGGCGCAGCCCAGCCGTGAGGGCCTCCCCACTCGGTTTGGCGACCGCGTCAGGGCCTTAACAGGACATAACCCGGCGGGAGAGAGAGGGAGAGGGGTGGGGTGGGGTGGGTTAGGCCTAAACCCATAGCCCCGGTTGAGGTGGAGGCCACGGGCCCAGGGCCCAAGGACAGGCTCGGGGAGGAGGAGGAGGAGGAAGGGGAGGAACTCTGCTCACGAAGGCTGCTCCGGCCCCCCCCCTGGGCTGTGGCCCGCGTTGAGCCTCAGGTAACGGCCCCTGAAGACAGGAGCTGATCCATCCGGGAGCCACCAGTCAGTGTCTGGGGGAGGGCTGTGTGGGTCTGTGTGTGTGTGTACCTCTCGCCCTTCACTTCAGCTTCAGCTTCACTTGGCCTCAGCCTCCGCTCGGCTCCGGGGCCGCCGCTCCTCACCCCGGTGGGAAATTGGCCGCCGCCCCAGAAAATCGCAACTCGCTTCGCAGTCCTGTTGCGTCTCGGAGAGACGTTGTTAAGGCGCCGTGTCAAATGCAAGGATTGTTACTGTGCTTCTGAAAAGACTCGCGGATCGGGGGTGGGGTGTGTGGGACACACACACACACGCACACACACACAGAAGGATTGGGTTCTTCGGGGTTGCATGCATGCCACGCCCAGCGACACATGTTTCTCATCAACTACGCCGTCAAGACCGATAATTTCAGGCTGAACGCTGTTTGAACGTCTGCCAATTCGAGTCCTTCCCAAGCTCCAACATGAACAGATACCTGCCGGTGGCCAGGCAGCATTTCCTGGCTGCTGTGGCCAGCACCAGCGTTGTAGTCAAAGCAGTCTGTGCCACCGTGCTCTTGCTCTACTGCCTCTCCTTTCTGGTGGACACTGTGCACAGGTTGGGAGTGACTCCCGGCTATCTTTTCCCACCAAATTTCTGGGTCTGGACACTGGTGACTCACGCTGTAGCAGAGAACCACATCTGGGATGTGTGTATCAGCTTGGGGACTGTCATTGTCGCCGGGAGGCTTCTCGAACCTCTCTGGGGGGCTTTGGAGCTCCTGATATTCTTTGCAGTTATCAATGTGTCTGTGGGAATCCTCGGAGGACTTTCGTACCTTCTGACTTATGTGGCGACTTTCAATCTGGACTATTTATTTACAGTCCGGATTCATGGCATGTTGGGCTTCTGTGGTGGAGTGCTGGTAGCTTTGAAGCAAACAATGGGAGACTCTGTGGTTATAAAGGTTCCACAGGTGCAGATGAAGGATGTCCCAATGATGATTTTGGTTATCATCAGTGTGCTGCGGTTAACAACACTACTCAGCAGCTCCATGTTATCGTCCTACGGATATGGAGTCCTGACCAGTTGGGTTTATCTTCGCTTCTACCAGAAACACAGCCGTGGACGAGGGGACATGTCTGATCACTTTGCGTTTGCGACCTTCTTTCCAGAGATCCTTCAGCCACTCATGTCAGTGGTGGCCAATGTGATTTACAGTGTGCTGGTCAAGATTAAGATATGTAAGAAGACGGTTAAGCGATATGATGTGGGGGCACCATCCTCCATTACAATCAGCTTGCCTGGCACTGACCCACAGGATGCAGAAAGGCGAAGGTATGCTGTGCAATAATATTAGAATGCAGTTCAAGAGTGATGTATAATAGTGAGAGAATATACTGGTACTTGGTTTAGGATCCTGTAAACGCTTAGGATTATTAATCCATTAGTTTGTCTTGCCACAACAACAATAATTTTATATTGCTTTAGGGCATTTCATGTCAGGAGGATGTCTAAAATGTTTCCCAGAGCTAACTGGAAGCTCAAGCTCCCTGGGGGTGAAGGGAGCTGAGGGCAATGAGTGAGGAGGGGTGTCAAACGTGGCCAAATGTGTGAAAGTAAATATCTTAAGAATTGAGTGGCTACAATAATTGCTCTTAATGTATTGTGTGTGAGGGGTGGGTCAGTCAAGGTACGATGGCTGTTGCTATTTAATGCCTGCTGGAGGTATGCATGTGAGATGTAGTTAAATGATGAGTCATTAAACCAAGGTCTTGCCTGTTGCATTGGCCATCAAATGCACAGGCGCAGCACACTGCAATAAATCCTGTGAAGTGCTTTGAAATGTTTTGATGACGCGATAAGGCGCTGTTTGCAGCTCATTGAAACTTGTTTTCTTTTCTACAATTTGCTGTGTGCTTGCAAGTGTCTCCAGATCCCAGATGATCTCAAAGTTGTAAAGGTCTACCAGGCTTCCCTGTGTCATGCCTACGGTCATCTCCTGCCTCCCCCCCCGGCTCGGCATCGTGCTCCGCCACTGTCAAGCGCTCTGGGACGCTGCCCTATGTGAGGGACGCTATATAAATGCAAGTTGTTGTTGCCTAGTAAGCTGTTCCAACTTTTGAGATCAGGTGTCGGATTTACATCCATCAATCGTTATTATGTGGATTTTGCTGGGATAGGGTCAGAACAGAGTGTGCTTGTCCACTCCCAAGATGATCTACAAATAATTGGTAATCCCTGAATCAGATCATTGCAGTTTCAGTTGAGTTTGAAATCGTCAGAGTCCTTGATGTGTTTGTTGTGCATGCCCAATCCAGATAAAGGTTTGTTTGTTTGTTTATTTCATAGACAATTAGCATTGAAAGCTCTGAATGAACGTTTGAAACGAGTTGAAGACCAAGCAGCCTGGCCCAGTATGGACGAAGACGAGAAGGACGATGGGTCTGATGTGCCATTGCTTCCAGGTGGCGACGGGGATGATTTGGGAGCTGAAGAGCATGAAACGGGCATGGGTGCATTCAAGGTGCTTTCATCAGACTCTTAGATACCATCGCCTGAAGACTTTTGGGTGAGAGTACGATGCTGCTCTGAGACATCCCGACCCCATGTGTGTCAAGACTTCAGACTGTTTAAATCTGACTAAAATCTATCCGGAAAGTAAAGTTGTTTTTAATACACAGCCCTGAGGAGATTGTAAGACTTTCCCGGCTGTGGTGCACCTGCTGCAGGGTTCATGTTTTTTTTTTTAGCTCCAGCGGTTGGTTAGAGCTACTTGGGATGGGTTTCAAATGGGTGGTAAATCCAACAATAACTTGTGCTGTTTCTCAAAAATTCATTGATTTGCATTCTGTGACTTCAAAGCGTCCACGGTGGAAAAACCGACTGCTGATTAGCGTAATTGTGGCTTAATAAAGAGGGGTTTCTACAGCTTTGAGATGAAATTGAAAAGGGATAGTCTGAAAACACAACATAACATGGCTGCCAATTTAGTATTTGGGTAAAGTGCCAAAAATATATAAATATTACAGAACCCCTGCTGTCTCTAACCTGTAGTAAATCCCAGGTTGGTATTGCTGAAGTACTTGTGATATTTCCTATTTCTGTCTGTTTGTTTTATCCAATAACTTTCAGTCTACTGCACTCTTGGTTGACTGATTTGACATTTCTTTTATATTCAAATTTCCATCATGTCCATTGAAATTAGCAAAGCACTCTTTCCCCTGAGTTATTTGCAGCTAAGCTACAGTAAGATGAGCAAAAAGCCAGAGGGTGTGCTTCCCGACAGATCATGACGGGTGATTTAATGTCCTTTGAAAAAAATTCAATAATCTCTTTCTGCTGCTGTCACCTTGACCCATCAGCCAGGAGTATGAAACCTTGTGGATCTTCAAGCTTACAAGGTGCTTCAACTTTTGAGGGAGATTTTGCAGAAGAATTAGTGCATCCAGCAATTGATATGGAAAATTGTCATGTGTTGCACTGGCAAACAAGCAAGTTATTGCTTGTACATTTTAAGCCTAAAAATATGTAGGCAATTGATGCAGGTATATTGGAAGTTGAACAGGAACTGAATGAGTTGCAGTGCATTTTGAATCCTGTTCCTTTGTGAAAGGGACGTGGTGGGTTTGAGGGATGACATGAACAGCCAGCTGTGCGCTTTCTCCCAAGTCTTGTGACTTGGTTTGCTTTTGTGGTGGCATACTTCTGAAAAGGGGGAGTTCTTTTTTTTGAGTCTCTTGCGCAACATTTTACGAACTGACTCAAAAGTCATCTATCTTGCCACATTTGTTTGGGGAACTCTAGGGAACTGTTCACCTGCACCAGCGGATTGCAAAGCAATATTTTCACAACAGAGCCCAAGTCAGTTGGCAAACAGAAGTCTTTTTGATAATTCCTGCAGAAATGTTAATGGTGACCAGGAGGTTTACTGGAGCCATGTCTGAGCCTGTGTTGAACAGGATAACAAATTGGTACAAAGAAACTTTTTTTTTTGGTGGGGGAAGCATTTTCTTTTCTTTGTAAAATGGTGATGGTTCTTCATATACTGTTTGTTTTACAGTCTGATGCTGTTCATGAGATGGTGATGTCAGACAGTGTTTGATGGGACTAAGTGATCAGCATTCTGCATAGCTCTACTCTACCGTTCTAGTTTTGTCGGCAAGAATTTTGATGGCAAACATGATGTAGGGAGGAAGCATAGTGATTTTTTAAAAGAATATTTAAATGTGCAAAATACTTTAATGTAAGATATTTTAAAATTCTATTAATCTCATCTAAGTAATGTCTTGCTCATTTTGATTTTTCAGGTGAATAGTCATTGTCTAATACTGTGCTATGTACCTACCTACCTTCCAGAGTAGCATTTACCAACAGTTAGACTAATCTCACTTTCTGGGCTTTACTTAACAAGTCGCAGGTTTCTTTTTGTATCCTTCTGTATCATAGTTGCACAGGTCAGTCTAATAAACTTTGCAGTCTCATACATTTTAATTTCTCGTAAAAATCTTAAATGTCCATTCTAGTTGAATTAATGGGGCTTTTTTTTTTTTTACTTAAGGTATTTTTTTTGAGTTGTGCACAACAACCACACAGTATTTGGGGAACAAAAACACAGGAACAGCTTTATTTTTAAACTCCAAGACTTTGAAAAGGAAGAAGAGCAGTTCTTTTGGAAAAAAAATCTTGGGAGTCCTTCATGCCAAGATATATTTACAACGTTTTTAAAAAGAAAAAGCAAAAAAATGTTTTATCAGAATTCTTTACAACAGTTTGAATCTTTAAAAAGGACCCGACTACGAGACTATCCTAGAGAAATAAACAAATTGTGAGTGAGCCAACGAGCGAGCGAGTGAAATAGGTAAACTGAGGCTTTCAGGGCACTGGTACGTGAGCTTGGTCAGCGCTGATATAGAGATCTGAAAATGTGAGCATCACTAGAATAGTCTCTTCACTCTAGATCAGTTAGAAATTCAAGTAACACTTTGTGGAACTGCTTTGGCTCGTCAAGGTAGCAAGCATGTCCTGCTGCTTGTATTTCGATAATTGTATTCTGTGGAAGTTGCATGAGATTCTTCAGGGATTCCTTCCCGAGACCCATGTCCAGTTGTCCAAATACAATCAGAGTTGGAGTCTGCCACCATAAACACCCAATTTACGTTAGAAATCACAAGCAATTAAACCACACAAGGCAGTTCACAATAAACTGTTGCAAACCAGTTAAATCTAAAGTCCAAAAATGATTGGGGTATGGGGAAATAGCGGGGGAGTGGGACTGATTGGGTAGCTCTTCCAAAGACCCGGCACAGACACGATGGGCCGAATGGCCTCCTCTGCTGTAATATTCTATGATTGTATGATTGAGCTTCAAGTCTTTAACTACAAAAGTTTGCATTGATTACCTCAGCTTTGTCTCTAGATTGCTCAATCAGGCAGTTATTAAATAAGTTAATACTTTTAAAGTAATATTTACAGAGATTAAAACCACATTGTGTGGGAAAAGCATTGTTTTTCCCCCTCCTTGGGGACAGATCACATGATGCTAAGGTGCAGCAATTAGAGGAATTGGGAACTTTGGACTGAAGTATTTTCTTATTCAGTTTATCTTGATTAAACAGTAGCACTCACTACTCCACTGAATGTGTCAGCATAGAGCTTGATAAAGATGTGAATGTTATCAACTGAGCAAAACTAACAAATATATATTCTTAAGAATTCAGAGGAAGAGTGCACAGTGATCATTGGAATACAGGAATTTAAGCGAGATTAGATTATGATAAAGACGGGTTTACCTGGATTTTTTTGTATTGCTCAGAACTGTAATCTTTTGTTCTCACTGGTGCTATAGGAATAAAGCCCTTCACTCGTTGGTTCTGTAACATCAGGAATGGAATGGAGTAACCACCACTCATCGATGGACTGATTAAGACAGGTGCCTTCAGTCCTAGAGCATTCAGGAATGCCAGCAGGAAATCTGCTCTGTTCTGGTCGTTTTTCCCAATCTCCATGTGTGGTGTATTCCCAAATCCTTTAAACAAAATAATAAGCAGTCATCTTTAGAAGAGAGCTAGTTTATTCTTGAAATATTAATTGTGAAGGGATAGGGTGGAATGAGATAGGGGCTTGTTTTTCTGAATCCTAAATAATAATTTGGTCACTCAGTCCATGACTGTTTATGTTGCATTGCTGTGCGCAATTGGCTGCCATGTTTTGGTCAATCCGCTTTACAGTATATTCTGTGGTGCTTTGAGACATCTCAACGACGTGATAAGGCACTGTAGCAAATGCAAGGATTATTATTAATAATAATGAAGAACCTCATGATACACCATCATAACACTTCCTCGGGAGCTGAAAGTGCCTTACCTGGCAAGTCCAAAGCCACAGCTCTGTATCCGCGACTAGCAAGCAGGCTCAGAGTTCCCAGATCCTCCCATGTCTTGGAGCTGAAAGCTTGTCCATGTAGCAGCAGCACCTCTAACCTATGCAAACCAAGAGCATGAATGAATAGCCCCAAAATAAAATAGCCCCAATGAATTACTGAACGGGAAAGGGTAATGTACTCCAGAGTAAATGCTTCAAGGTGCTATCTAACTTGCCAGTTTCAGATTGGAATTAGTATTCCTTAGGTTAGGGGAGGCACTAACCTAGTACCCATACAGTACCCAAGTCCAAACACTTTATAACTATTCAACAGTCCAGTGAGTTGCTAACTTGCATAAATTTAAGTAACATTTTTGCTTAACAAAAAGGTGATTTCTAAAAATTGTACAAAGGTTGCATTTCAAAGCTGAAAAACAGAGTGATTCAAATAGATTGTTTAAATGCAAAACTGAAAGCTTGACAAGTAGCAGTGTTCAAAGCTGTTAAAAATAATTACTCCAGTGTGGCCTGATTGAACAGGTTGGCATTGAATGTCTCTTTACCTGAATGCCAAGATTGTTTGACACATGCTGGATAGGGCAGTTCAAGGTTGGACTATTACCAGCTCACTACAGATTTCGCTGGTATGAGACTTAAATACTTAACTTAAATCCATGCCATCAGGTTAATTAGTGGTACTGGTTTACAATATTTTATTTAAATGGATAATATCACCTTTTACAGGGGGTGGGGGTGGGAGATTTTCAGCAATCTATGAAACCACAAACATGGCAATACTTGTAGGTTGTCAGGGGTTCCATTTTCTCGTCACTTTACATAGAATGTGATACGCGTGAGAAACATACAAAAGTAATGTTAGCCATTTTTGTATTTCAAAGTGATAAATTGTGGGAAAAAAAATACTCATTGTGCTTAATTTTCCTTGATTTGGAGAATATTGGAAAACCTAAGGAATACTGATTAAAATCTGAAACTGGCAAGCCAAGGTATTATGACTAATCTTGTCAGCAAGATGATCACCTTGGCCTACTGGTGTCAAAATGCCCTTGTTGTTCAAATGCCCACAATCTTCATTTACCTGGGCTGTGTGGTTTTCCAATCCTTCTCTGGAGCCAATGTTTCACGGTAAAATACAAGGCTTCCTTTATATTGGTCAAGTCGGACGGTAAGATTGGTTATTAGCTGGCGAGGATTGACCATCATCAGTTTATCTGTGTGCCCCAAGTATTGAGTCTTCTGTTTTGGACTGGAAGGGAGCAAGCACATCAGAAGTATAATTCCGAGAACAAAAAGGGCAGCCACCACCTTGTTCCGGTGGAACCAGAGTGTATGCATATTCTTCCCCGGCAATGGAATAAATCTGAAGATTTAAAAAAGACAGTGGGTTTTGAAAACGAATCAGAAAATACAACAATAATCCTTGCATTTGATATAGCGCCTAATCACATCTTTTCAAGACGTCTCAAAGCAGAATATACTGCAAAGTGAAGTGACTGTATCCTTTGTGGATGAAACATGGCTGCCAATTGCACACAACAGTGTCCTTCCCACATACAGTCGTGGTTTGATTGACCAAGATATTATTTTTTTAAAGAGATTATTACCACCGGAAAAGCCACCTGCCAATCGACTTAATAACGGGGATCCTACTTACTGCCAGGTAAACGGAGGTGTGCGTGTGGAGTAACGAGACATGCCGGAGGTTTCGCTCTGCTTGGGAATCGAACCCAGGTCCTCTCGCTTGCGAGGCGAGCGCTCTAACCGCTGGAGCTGGAGGACTGCACGGATAAGACCATTCGCTAACGTGAGGACCAAGCTAGCTAACTAAATAAACCCACCGAGCAGCCAGCCAGCCAACCAACCAGCCAGCCAGCCAACCAACCAGCCAGCCGGCCAACCAACCAACCAGCCAGCCAACCAACCAACCAGCCAGCCAGCCGGCCAACCAGCCAGCCAGCCAGCCAGCCAACCAGCCAGCCGGCCGGCCCAGGGATGAGAGTAGCCGGGCTGGCTCACCCATGGTTGGGCAAGGGGACCTGGCACATGAGGGCTCACCTGAGACCTTAAGGAGGTGCTGCGTGCAGAGCAAAGGCTCACCTGTGGGGGAGTAGTGGTGGGAGAGGGGGACAGTGACCCAGGGACAGGGTTTGAACTTGTTCAGTGGTTACAGCCTCCACACACATGGAACAGCTGTCTGCCACGTCACCACTCGCCTGGCTCCTATTGGCTGGCCAGGTCACGTGAGCGGGGGGGGTGGTGGGGGCTGAAGCCGATGTGAGCGCCGCCATCTTGGTGTGGGTCTCACCTGGTCTCTCACCAATGTGAATGGCACTGCCTTCTTTTTATTGTACATTTAATTACATATATATATATATATATCTACATAAACTTAAGTGATTATGATGACAGAGTTCAAAATACTCAATCACGGTATCCTTTTTAAAAAAAAAGGGAATCGCTGCGTAAACTTGTACATTTTTCCCTATGCGTCAATAGAATTGCCAATAGGTTATTTTCTATTAAAAAAAACCACTTGCACTTATGCAGACAGGGCCCTCCACGCAGGGTAGCAGCGCCTGAGAGCGCTTAACAGTGGCGGAGCCTGACTCCCGAGCCAGGGTGGAGGGTTGGGGGTGGGGGCAGGTGGCCCTAAACACAGTCGAAGAGGAAGGTTTTCAGGCAGGACTTGAAAGAGGGGGCAAGGCGGAGGGATTGAGGGAGAGTGTTCCAGAGTTTCGGGGCATAGTGGCTGAAAGCGCGATCCCCCATGGTGGGGTGGAGGGCGCGAGGGGCGAGCAGGAGGCCGGTGACAGTCGAGCGGAGGCGCCAGTGGTGGATTGGGGAGTGAGAAGGTCGGAGAGGTAGGGAGGTGCCAGGGAGTGAAAGGGTTTGAACACAAGTGTGAGGATCTTGAAGTTGATCCGTTCAATGATGTGGAGTCAGTGGAGCCTGGGCCAGAACTGGTGAGATGTGGGGTACCTTCCTTCTTCCAGAATTAAAAACTGACAATTAAATTGAGCTGTAAACAACAACAAGTTACATTTATATAACGCCTTTCACGTCAGGACAACGTTCCAATATATACACAGTCAAACCAAAGGCAAATACTGCAGATGCTGGAAATCTGAAATAAAAACAGAGGTTGCTGGGAACACTCAGCAGGTCAGACGGAATCTACTGAGAGAGGAAAGTGGGTTAACGTTTCAGGGCGAGGACCTTTCGCCAGGACCGATAAACACAGTCAATCCACTTTACCGTATGTTCCGTGAAGCGCTTTGAGACGTCTCGAAGACGTGACGAGGCGCTGTATCGATCAAACGCAAGGATTATTCTTCTTCTTTCAAGTGTTCAAAAGGGGAGGTTGAATCAGCAATGGGCAGACACCGCCCGCCCGCCCACCCACCAGAGGGTGCTAGAAGACCCGGTGGATTCAAGAATTCGTTCGACTTGCTTCCCTGAGGAAAGTTAATTCAAAAGTTAAGCACAAACACCGTGGAAGCCTTCGCGTCCGATGCGGCGTTGCCTCATTACGTCGTCGGGGCGTCTGAACGGCGACGACGACTTGCACTGTTGTGCAGCGTTTGCTCGGAAAGGGCTTCGCGGCGCGGAGTGCGGTCGGGCATTTGAACTCTCTCATATCACCCGCTCGAGAACCTCCACCCCACCCCAACACCCCTCCGCCCACTTACCCCCTTCCCCCACCCCAACCCCCCCCCCCAAATGTTCCGCGCACACTGGCTCACGGGGCGCACAGTCGCTAACGCTTTACGGGGGGGTCTCCCGTCAGGCGCTTTGAGACGTCTCGAAGACCCGATAGGGCGCTGCGTGGAGTGCCGGGGCTCGTTATATTGCCCTGAGGTCGCCACCTGTGGGGCCTGTTACCTCCTCTCCATTGGAGACGCCTTCAGCGCGGGTCTGGGTGGGTGTGTGCGTGTGTGTGTGTGTGTGTGGAGGGAGGAGGGAGGAGGAGGGGGGGGCGTGTCTTGCGTGAGGAACGCTGCACGTACGCACGGACTTACGCACGCACGCACAGGCGGAGGGCGGCAGGGAGGGAGCGTGACGCCGGCGGCACACGAGGACGCAGAGGCAGGACGTACGCGCGTGGGGCGAGAGAGAGAGAGAGAGGGTGGGGTGGGAGTGAGTGAGTGACGCTGGCGAGGACGCAGCGAGGGCACGTCACGTCACGCACGTCACGCACGACGCAGTGGGCGGGAAGGGCGGGTGTGAGTGAGTGAGTGAGTGACTGACTGACTGACGCTGGCGGCCCCTCACCTCACAGCACAGCGCTGGCGGAGAGCGGCGCGCAGGCGACACGGCCGCAGCCCCCGAGGCGGAGACACAGACCCGGTCACAGCCGGACATCGGCTTCCACCCCCCACCCCCCGCACCGAGAGTCGCCCGGTGCCGCCCTCCCCCCGCTGGCTCGTCAATGCGGCCCGGGCCCAGGCCTAGGCCGAGCTGCCGCCGGCGGTGGTGGTGGTGGGGGGACCGGGTTTCCATCCGACCGGCGGCGGCCTTCCGCCGTTAACCCGCGTGCGGCGGCCCGGCGACGGCGGCCCCGGACCCCCCACTCTCCCCTCCCCTCCCCCCCCCTCACCCCCCGCCCCGCCCCGCCCCGCGACATGCGGCTGGAGGGCAGCTGAGCCGCAGCCCACGGCCACAGCCGCACACCGCCGGGTAGGTATCACAGGCGCCGGTCACGGTGCCGCCGCCGCCGCTCAAAAGTCGGTACGGTATCGACACGGTATCGCCGGTGATCCATAATAGTGTTGGTGCTGATAGTGATGATGATGATGATAATAATAATAATAATCCTCGCATTTGATACCGCGTCTGGTCACCGGGACCGTCTCGGAGCGCTTCCCGCAGCAGCGACCGCCGCAAAGCGCAGCGGTTGTTTATGTTTTGTGCGGGAGAGAGGCGGCCGATTGGCACAGCGTTGTCCCCCCCACATACACACATACTCCCCACCCCCTCCCCCACATACACACACACCCCCCACCCCCTCCCCCACATACACACACACCCCCACCCCCTCCCCCACATACACACATACCCCCCCCCTCCCCCACACCACACCCCCCCCACAGACACACACACACACCCCTCCCCACACACAGCCCTCCCACACACACACACCCCCCCCCCCCCCCCACACACACACACCCTCCCCACACACACCCCCCCCCCACACACACACACACACACGCACGCACGCGAGTGTGCGTGGGAAACAGTCGTGAATTGAAGTGACCAAATTGTTGGGGTTTTTTAAGGAGGGATCATTATCTCTCCCCCACCCCCCCCCACCCAGGAAAAGCCATCCGCCGGCACTCGACCAGCGGCAGGTTCCTGCTCGCTCGTGCCGCAATTGCACCTTTTAGTGGTAGGTTATTAATGTTGGATTTGATGCTGCGGTTAGTGCCAGTTACTGCTGTTGTTATTGTTGCTGTTATAATGAATGTCATCACCACTGTCGTCGCAATTGCTAATGTCACTGGTGATTGCTGTTATTACTTCATGCTGCTGTTTGCAGTCCTGTCGCTCAGCGGTTAAGAGCGCTCGCCTCGCAAGCGAGAGGTCCCTGGTTCGATTCCCGGGCAGGACAGGGCGAAACCTTTGGCAAGTTTCCTTACTCCACACACACACACACACACACACACACACGCCTCTGTTTACCCAGCAGGTAGATTGGCGGATGCTATTCCGGGAGTAATAATCCCTTTAAAAAACAATAATAATTTGCTCACTCAACCCGCCGCTGTTTGTGGGGACGCTGCCGCGCGCAATCGGCTGCCGCGTTTCGCCCACAAAATTCACACAGTCAATTAACTTTACAGTGTATCCTGTGAAGCGCTTTGAGACGTCTCGGAAGATGTGGTAGGGCGCCGTGTCAAATGCCAGGATTATTATTATTGTTGCTATCAGCACCACAATTGTTAGTTATTACTCGTGTCATTGCTGTTAATGTTATAAGAACCTCAAGACTTCTCGTTGGTGTTATTTTACTGCTATATTATCACTGCTAGCGAGTATTAATGTTGCAATTTGTTGCTAATGTCAATATTACTGCTGTCATTAATGCTGACTTCACAAGCTTTCAGCACTCCGCGTTAGTTTCTGATCTTTCAGCATTTAAGAAGCAGTAGAGAAAAGTTGTGATAGGTTTGTTATCATCAAATATTTTAAATGTGTTGCTGAATGGATGTAGATAATTGCAGATCTATTCAACATGACTAATTCAACAGATTATAAAAAGAAATAGTCCCATTAGAAAACAGTTCAATGCGTGCAGGGCTCTGATGTCTTTTCCTTAGTGAAAGGGCTGTGCTTTCCTTGGACTATATTTGAATGCATACTTGTGCTGAAATGCTGGGTTTAAAAGAAAAACGTAATCAATATGTTGCAGAAATTTAATAGGTGTTGTTTATTAAATGAATTGAAAAATTATTAGGATTCATGCAGATTGTTGAGGCATTGTGATGAATGGTCAGTAATTAAAACTGGTTTATCATCACTAGATGTTTGGAGTAAAAAGTGAATACAGATGAATTCGCACAAGTGGTTTTGTTGTAAGTCATAACTAACTACTTTGTTATAAGATCTGACATATGCATTAACAGTACTTTGCGTAAGTCGTATTAAATGTTATGGCCCAACTGATACGACTTATGCGAGTTCATCTGTAAACCTAAGTAGTACTTTGGAGAGGGTATGCTTAAAGATCAGAAATGTAAGATTTGCACTGCTTCGTTTTTCTTTGGCTTGCATGACAGGTAATTTTTTTTGTTTTTCTTTTACGTCAGAGAAGCATGAAGTCACATTGACAGGTACGTGCATGCTGAACTCTAAAATGGTTGCACGGCTGTGCCGAAGGTAAACTGCCAGGGGAACCCATTAAATAAAGAGATCTGTGCCATATATTTATGTCTAAATAAATATATATGAATTTAAAACTCAAAACATTAAAGGGATACCGATGGAGCAGAGTAATAATGACCCTTCACTTAATGACCTAGACCCTGGACTTAGACTCACAGATACTGAATGCAGGAAGCAGAGTGAATCTGATCACGCCTTGTCCAAGATAACACACAACGCTTTGGAGAACATCGGGTCTATTGGCCAAGGGTTAAAGCAACTCTTTCATCACCAGCGACGGCGATCATCTGTGTCCCCTCAAGATGGTCTCCAAGCTCAGGCTGATCAAGAGCTGTCAGAGCTGGAAAACTCTAAACTTGCCAGCGAGACCGAATCAGTGCCTATCCAGCAATCCACTGCCCAGGCCACAACCCTCAACAGGGTCCTGCAGCAGATCCGAGTGGCTCCAATAATGAAACGAGGATCAAGTCTGCAGAGCAGAAGGAGTAAAGTGGATCTTCCTCGGGGAAGTCCCCAGATTTCCAGAAAGTCCGCCCCAGATGGTATCCCTGGTCTCCTTCTACATTCTGGTCGACCTCGATCTTCATCTACCACAGATGCACCAACATCGTCTGTTATATTTGAGCCGTCAGCAATCAGCCCTTATTCTGGAGATGAGCTCGACCGGGTAAGTGGAGAACTCTTCTTTTTATCCACAAGTTTTAATCAGGAATTGTTTGAGAAGCTTATCAACCGCCCCTTGACTATCCAAATCTTGACCAGAACAACTGTATTGATTTGAATGCAAAGCCTTTAGAAACCCAAGTAAATCCTCAAATATCTGCCTACTCTTTAGATTTGGGCCCGTTTTAGATTTGAGTAGATGAAATGCCGTTTGTGGAAATTTGGCTATTCTGTTTGGTGTAATGATTGGATTAAGATTGTCAGTTTGGGTACACAACCTGCCCTGATGTTTCCCTTTCAAAGAGTAGTCAAAACCCATTTTCATTAAGTGTACACTGTACTGACCTTCTGAAATTTTCACTGCAATATAACTAAAAATTGTATTGCACAATTTGTTCCAGATTGTTCTGTTGTGATTAAACTCTTGCCGTTGAGACTCTTACAAAAATCTCTTGCAAAGAATTATCATTAACTATGAAATTGTAGTCCTGGTGGTTTGTGTGGAGGGCAAGGATTTGTAAGAAACATAATCTGATTTTATTTAAATGGGATGTTCGATTGTTTCCTAAATTCTGGTGACATTATTTAGTCACCAGAAAAATATTCAGCAAACCAAGCTATTGCAGAGACTAATTGGAAATTGACGTGGCTCATTGTTAATGGGTAACTTGCATAATATTTTATGACACACCATTCATTTGACATAACAAGTGTTCTGTGTGGATCATTGGTAATTGGTTGGAGTAGTGATGGTTGGGGAGGAAGAGCCTTATCTTACAACTGTTATTCCTAGAGAATAACGGCTGCTGAAAGAGGGACTAATTCTGATATTTAATTGGGAATGAGGTGAAGTTTCAGCATTGTTGGATAGCCCCAGATTCTGCCTCCTTGACCACTGTCAGATGGTTTAGCAAGTTGGAGAGTGGTTTGAGTTGCTTTTATGAATACATTGGGGAAATGAACATGTGTGTACAATTACATGTTCAATGTTGTTTGTATAGGAGACAATAAAGAAAACTGATTCTGTAGAAGTGCTTGTTTGTTTAGCCACCCCTTAGTGCCCGTAGGAATGGAATATTATGAGGGTCCTGATGTCATTTCAAGGTTGTTCTACTGTAGGGATGTCAAACTCGTTCGCCTTTCAGAACTATACGAGCAGATAAGCACAGGCTGAGGAGGGTGGTTTCCAGTTTGTATTCTGTGAAATGTTTTTTTTACTACTGATATTACTTCTGTAAAGTTGCTGCTACTGATATCACTTCCTCTGAAAATGGTGCAGAATACCAGATGAGAGAGAGACTTACACAGACAGGACCAGCCCATGAGCTCGATCATCTGGGCTCTTATCTCTTTCTCACTTAAGTCTCTCTAAATTTCTGTCCGACTCTCTCTATCATTCAACATATCACTTTCTGGAACTGTAACCTCACACTGCAAAAAGTAAGTGCGTTAAATCTCACATAGGTTTTTAAATTGTTTAATTTCCCCAAGTTGTCCGTGCGACTTGTGTGAGTTCCACTGAATGTAAAGACTTGGCTTCGCAGAAAAAAAATTACAGATTCTGACTGCCTTAAACTCATTGCATAGAACCCTTATAGGCAACAGAGGATAAAGATGTTCATCCAATTAAGGCTGGATTGGCTTTGACCCAAAGATGGGACAGTGTCCTGATGCATTGTGTCAATGAATCTGTCTCATGCAAGCTCACGAGTTTGTTCTCTCTCTCTCTAGCTGTCTCACCAGCTCAAAACATTTTCAGCTTTTTTGCCAAATCCACCATGTTATCTCAGTGATTTTTTTAATACAATATATAAAAGGAAATGGCTTAATGCCAATAGGCTACTTTGGTCATTGGATATGCAAAACCTCAGGATGGGTTACTTCCAGATCCTTCCATTAAGGCCTGTTAAAACAAGATAAGGAAAAGGGAAGAAGGAAAATTAACTTTATTATTAAACATCTTGCCAGTGAACACATTTATTGTTTACTCTACATGTAAATTATTACAATGTTCAGTGTTTCTTGTTTATCAGTGTTTGAATGGTTACTACATTTAAATAAATCCTTAAATCAGTTGGGTTGAGTGAGAGCGGATGACTGGTTGAGGTTTAACACGGTTCAAGGTCACAAATCCTGCACTTTTCTGTGAGAAGATTTATGACAGTGATCTTAATATTAGTGCAGTGGGGAAAATATTCTAAAGTACAAGCCTTTCCTGTATTCTGTTCACTTTGACATCCTCCCGACGTGAAAGGCGCTATTCAAATGTAATTTTGTTGTTTGCCAAGAAAATATGAACCTTTTTTTTACCTTAAGATCAAGTACAAATAGCAGGTCAGCTGCAAAACTGTGTTTTCATAAAGAATCCTTTGAATTGTATGGGGGCTCAACACAATGTTCATTATCGAGCATGTAACCTATTAGTATTTAGTACTGTGCTACCTTAAAACATCTGTGTCACTGGTGTTCTTAGATTGCTTCAACTGATGAATTGCTGTAATGCATTCGGTGCCTTAGCAGTGAATCTTTCAGGGTTAATCTGTGGTTTTCCACTGCACATGGACACCGGCCACATCATGCTTTTTTGTCTTACAGCTGAATGGTTTGCACTGAGACTTGTGGTGCTGTTCCTTTCCGCTTCTTGCTAAGTAGATCTCCTTTTCATCGCAAATTTAACCCAAGCGTGAGCCATGCGTTTAATTTTATGTTATAATTTTCCACTCGACTGCTGAAACGCGTCTGGTGTTCAACTCGTAGGCCCAAGGATAACTGGTGGGGTTTGATTGTAGCATTTAATAATATATTAATAATCCTTGCATTTGATATAGCGTCTTAGAGGGGTCTCAAAGCGCTTCACAGAATATACTGTAAAGTGAATTGACTATGTTTTGTGAGCGGGTCGCGGCAGTGAATTGCGCACAGCAGTTTGGTCTAATATCGAAGTTTGAATACACAACAAAAATGATGCTTTAGCATTATTTTGTCGTCTGGACGCCAATTAGATTAGATATGAAATCTCTTCCTGGTATTGATTGTTTTTATGGTCACTATTTTTGACAGGTGTCTTGATAAGTTTTTGTGCATTATAGTTGTTCCAAGTTTTAGTGCCACCGGGGTTCAAAGTCTGCTGTTTCACTACTGTATGATGTAATTCGTTCCTGCATTATGTAATTCGTTCCTGCGTTGAACTTCTTACACTTGAGGTGAGATCAGCATATAGGAAGACAAATGTCTGCCGTGCAGTTGAGTTGAACCAGCAGACAGAAGTTGCCAGAGTTTTATCTGTTTCCACGTCTTTCCTCATTTCGGCAACTTTCTGTTTTTCCAAAATTCTCCGGAAGTTTCGCCAGGACAGTAGCACACAACAGATTACATCTAAGTAGGTCTTTCACATCAGGGGACATCTCGAAGGGCTTCACGCAGCCGACTGGGAACCCAAGCCGAGGGGCGGGGATGGAATGTGGCCAAAAGCGGAGCGAAGGGGATTGGTCTTAAAGTATAGATTTGAAGGCTCTTATGGGTTAATAGAATTTCACAGCGTTCGAATTTCGTAGAAGGAGGCAATTCGGCCTATTCCTGTGCCGGCTCTTTGAAAGAGTTACCAACTCGTCCCATCCCCCTGCTCTTATCCCGTAAGTTGACTGCTTCCTCAAAATGGAAGGAGGAGCGTGCGTTGTTCTGGCTTGAAAAGAAAGGGTTAAATTACACTTTATACTGGAGCCAAACAGGCTGAACCAGGGCAAAGGTCGAGAGAGAGGGGAGTAGCGGTGCCTGGCACAGAAACATTGTTAAGTCATTAATTCTCTGGGAATTAGGTATCAAGTTCAGCTCAGCCAGCATTATTGAAGGCAATTTTTTAAATGGCAATTCAATGCCAAAAAGCTTGTGCAGGCAGTCTCCTTGAGTAAAAAATAGAGTACCGTCGTCTCCGGACCTCGTCAATCCACAATAATAATACTCGTTGCATTTGATATAGCACCTCATCACGTCTTCGAGACGTCTCAAAGCATTTCACAGAATACACTGTAAAGAGAATTGGCATATTTTGTGGGCAAAATGCAGCAATCAATTGAACACAACTGTGTCCCAAAAACAGTCGTGGATTGAGTGACCAAATTATTTTTTTTTTTGAAGGGATTATTATCCCCAGAAAGCGATCCGCCAATCAACTAACAGTCATGTTCCTACTTAATGCTGGGTAAACAGAGGCGTGTGGGTTAAGGAAACTTGCCTAACGTTCACCCTGCCCAGGAATCAAACCAGGTCCTATCGCTTGCAAGACGAGCGCTCTAACCAATACATTACCGAACTCCACAAGCAGATCATCAAGCGGATGTCGGTGCCAGCTCCCCCACTGCAGCTAACTGGTGCGCTCTCATCATTACCAATTTGCATTTTAGTTTAACTTAATTCACCAATTTACATTTTATGGCAATGAAAAAAATTGAGGCAATGTTTTATTGGTGTTCTTTCTCTTCCCCCTCCGTTTCTACTCAGGTCTCGTCTCCTCCAGTTCGGTTGTGCTGAAAGGAAATGAGAGTTTATTAAAGAATCGGTTGTCATTTTAATTTCCTGTTTCAATGTTTAAAAGTCTTTTTACATTCGGTTCGATTCTCAGCTGTCCTTCCTTTCCCACATCCGGTCCCTGACCAGGACACTTTTCCTCCACCTCTGCCACAGCACATGCATCCGACGTTACCTCACACCCAACACAGCTGAAACCTTTATCCACACATTTTCACCTCTCGGTTTGATTTCCCCCCACGCCCCACTGTGCTCTCCTTGCCGGCTTCCCCAACTCCACCATTCACAAACTCCAATTAATTCAAAGTTCCGCCGCCTGTGTCCCCACCTGCACCAAACTCCGCACCCCTTCACCCCCGTTATAAATCTATTTGGGGGTTCACAAAATTAGACACCACATTAGCTCAGATCCACTTAAAAAAGAAATGAAGTGGCCTGCGTCCAGGTTGTCAGGCCACTACTGACGTCACTTCTGGCTTC